CGCTGTGCGGGGCCCGCGGGCACGAGCCGCGCCGTCACCATGGCGAGGCCCGGCCTGCGCTGCCCTGCCCCGCGGAAACCGCCCTGCAGCCGCCGTCTCCCGGGGAGGGAGGACGGTGCGAGCGAGAAAACAGCTCTGGGATCCAGGCAGATTCTCTGCTTGTCGCATTTTTGCCATTCCGGACAATTCGGGAGCTACAGCAGCCTCCAGCCCGTGCCCTGCCGGAGGCTCTGCCCAGCCCGGTGCGCTGAGGTGCTGCAGGCTCCGCACAGCAGCGCTGGCAGCGCACAGACCTCCAGAGGGAAAGGAACACGGGACTGTACGGAGAGGCCAGAAATGTTTGAGCAGATCATCGGGTACTGAATTCCCGGCAGCTCCTCTTCCAGCATGACAAGAGCCAGTGGGGCAGGAGCAGGGATCACCCTGCAGCCCGTGTTGCAAGGCCACGGTGAGCTGTGTCCCTGCAGGTCCATGAGGGAGCAGAGATCCGCCTGCACCCAGGAACGAGCCAGGCTGGAGCAGGTGGATGTACCCAGGCTGTGACACCCTGGGAAGCTCATGCTGGAGCAGGCTGTGGCAGGGCCCTTGTGCCCATGGAGAGGAGCCCACTGGAGCAGGTTTGCTGGCAGGAAATGTGACCCTGCTGGAGCAACTGGTTCCTGAAGGACTGCACCTTCAGGGACTGTGTGGGACCCATGCTGGAGCAGTTCATGAAGAACTGCAGCCCATGGGAAGCACTCACACTGGAGAAGTTAGTGAAGGAGTCTCCCATGGGAGAGACCCCATGCTGGAGCAGGGGAAGAGTGTGAGTTCTCCCCAGAAGAGGAGGGAGCAAGAGACATGGGATGACATTAACCACAACCCCCAGTCCCCATCACCCTGTGCAGCTCAGCAGGGAGGAGGGAGAAAATGTCATGAGTGAAGTTGAACCCAGGAAGAAGGGAGGAGTGGGGGGAAGGTGTTTTATTATTTGTTTTAACTTCTCATTACCCTGCTGCTATCTGACAATACATTAAATGAATTTCTCCAAGTCGAGTCTCACTTGCCTATGACAGTAACTGATGAATGAGCTCTCCCTTTCCTTGTCCCAACTCACAAGCCTTTCAATGTATTTTCTCTCCCCTGTCCAGCTGAGGACAGGAGTGACAGAGTGGCTTTGGTGGGCACCTGGTGTCCAGCAAGGGTCACCCCACCACAGCAACACAAATACAAGGGCTGAACACATGTATAGCTTTATTTAAATCATTTTCTATAGATACATGAATTTTTCAAAGCGTTGCCACCTTAGTTTATGTTCTCCAGGCCCTGAAAAAGAAAAAATAACAGCTATATTTGTGTCATTCTTGCCACTAATGTGCAACACAGCATATCTGAAAATGCAGATTTTCAAACTACATTTAATTACCCAGGTCTTAATTAGAACAAAATTAAAATGCATATCCCCAGCGGCAGGCCAAGTGCAGGCACCGAGTCAGATCTGACAAGAGCGACCAGCGCCCACCTCAGCGGCCACGCCAGAGCTCGGGGATGGGGGAGCAGCCCCTGGGTCCCTGTTCCCCCCGGCGGAACCTGCCCAGCGCCCCCAAAACCTGCCTTGGACACGTAGTGCTTGTTGACACCCGACAGCCGCCGGTCCCTTTCCAACAGGGTCCACTCGTAGGGATAGCGGGCGATCCTTTTCTCCTGCAGGCACAGAACCGCCTGTTAAGGCCTCGGGCAGGGGCTCCCGAGGGAAGGCGGGGTAAGGAGAGCCCCGGGAGGAAGGGATCCCAGAGGGATGCAGGGACTGGGGGATCAGGGCGGCTCCGGAGGGGAAGCGGAGCCTCAGGGTCCGGATGCCGGGACCCGCCGCCCGCCTCGCGCTGACCTTGCCGCCGTGACACAAGCGGTGCATGAAGACGGTGGCCATGCCGGGGATGCTGAGGCAGACGCCCATGATGGCCATGCCGGGCAGGATCTCGTACCACATCCCGCCGCTGTCGGTGTCACTGTCGGTGTCGGTGCCGCTGCCCCTGCGCCGAGTCCCGGGGCACTCCCGGCCTGCCCCGCGCCCTTCCCGGCCTGCCCCGCGCCCCCTCACAGCCTAGCGGGCCCGAGCGGGCAGCGGGAGCGACAGCGCCGCCGGGGGACAGTCCCTGGCAAGAAATGAGGCCGAGGCCGAGGCCGTGTCCGTGTCCGTGTCCCAGTTCGCCCGATACCGCTGTCGGTCCCGGTCGCTGATCCCACCGGGATCAGCGGTGGCGGGCGCGGTGCACGCTGGGAGTGGTAGTCCGGCGGAGGCACGGCTCCTTTAAGGCACAGTCTCGCGAGAGGCGGCGGTCGTTGGGTGCGCGCGGCGCAGCCCGGGCCCGGAGTCAGGATCGGGATCGGGATGAAGGAGGACAAGGAGAACGCCAGGCCCAAGGAGCGGCGCGGGGCCTCGGCCGGGCCGGGCGTTCTTCTGGCCGCGGGACCAGGCTCGGGCCCCGCCGCCGGCACGGACGGCAGAGCCGGCGCCGCCGAGCTCGATCGCCTGGAGCGGCCCAAGGACAAGAAGGAGACGCTCAGCAAGGTGGGGCCTGCGCGCCGCCGGGAACGGCGCCGTCCCCGGTAACGGGGCTCTCCCTCTGTAACGGGGCCCTCCTCCCTCCGGTAACAGGGCTTCCCCTCCGTAACGGGACCTTCCCCCGCTAACGGGCCGCTTGCGGGGGCCTGCTGGGACGGGACGGGACGTGTCGGGGGCGGCGCGGTAGTGACTCGTCCCCGGCGCTGAGCGCCGCTCCTGCCGTGCCGCAGGTGGTGATCCGCCGGCTGCCGCCCAGCCTGACGAAGGAGCAGCTGGAGGAGCACCTGCAGCCTCTGCCCGAACACGACTACTTCGAGTTCTTCGCGAACGACTCCAGGTACGGCCGCCTGCCCAGTCCGGGCGTTCCCGGGAGCCGCCGCTACCGCCAGCCGGGCCCCAGTGGCGCCGCCGCCTCGTCAGCCCAGCGCTCTCGGTTTGTGTCTCTGCAGCTTGTACCCGCACATGTTCTCGAGAGCCTACATCAACTTCAAGAACCAGGAAGACATAGTCCTCTTCAGGGATCGCTTCGACGGCTACGTTTTTGTCGATCACAAAGGTCAGTGAACGGCGCTCGATGGATGTTGCTGCTTCCCTGCTGTCTGTGCTGTGTGCTGGATGAGTTTTGGAGGGGTAGATGTGAGCAGCCACGTCTGACTTGTTTGGGTTTAGTGCCTCAAAAACTGTTCCAATTCCTCTAGAAATACATACATATATAGATCGAATAATATCTAAGTCCTTTAAATGAGCTGGCTTGCAGTGTAACAGCACTCTGTGTTTGCCATACCCAGCTGGATTTGTGCAGCTATAAGTGTGGTGTTCTTGTCATAAGATGGAGCTTTAAAGCTGCTTGTCATGCATTGCATACATTGTTTTGTCAGAAGCTGAGATTTGCCTCAGTTGCATTAACTTAGAAAAATACTCCTTGCACAATGAACACAGAATCTGTAGGATGAGGCCCTGACGTGGTGTGGTGCCACTGAGGTGGCAGAAGTGACAGTCATGGGCAGTCTTAAATCTAGTATGTCCTTCTTGTCAGCCTGTGAATTTGCTGGTTTGTTAGTATTGTGAGAGTGTTAAGATCATGAATTCTGCTGTCTGTAGAGTGATTTGGTTTTTTATTAAATGATTTTCCAAATACACAATTTTTTTTTTATGCTAAGTAGTCTCTTCTAGTATTGTATATTTCTTGTGTGACTTACCTTTCTGCTTTAGCTATGGGAAATATAATCTATTTTATATCTGTTTCATCTTTATTTTAATATATTTTTTTCTCTCAACAGGTCAGGAATATGCTGCCATAGTTGAGTTTGCACCTTTCCAAAAAGCTGCAAAAAAGAAGAGCAAGAAAAAGGATGCCAAAACTGGAACTATTGAAGATGGTATAACAGAGAGCTAGTTTGTTTTTGCATGTGTAGACTTGAAACTCTTAGCAGTAATTTGAATGTAATGTTTTTACTGTGACACTGTAGTTCCACCAATAGGATGTTTGCTTAATTATATGTGGAGTTTATGAGCACTGCTTTGTCAGCTAGGAATCTATTAAATATGATTGTCCCAGACAAACATAATAAAGCAGCTCATTTGAGAGCTGCTAATTTATGAAAAGGTGGCATATAAACAACTCAGCTTAAGTAAATGTAACTGAGCAGTGCATGATGCAAATACTTTTCATGCTACAGTATCTCTTCTTTTTTCCCCCCTTTTTTCCCTTCTCTTCTGTGTAGATCCAGAATACAAGAAGTTTTTGGAAAGTTACAGTGCAGATGATGAAAAATTAACCTCCACTCCTGAAACTTTGTTGGAGGAAATAGAGGCAAGAAACAAAGAGCTAATAGGTATGGAAATCTGTACTGTAGTTATATTTTCCTAGATCACAAAGAAACAAATATGTTTTGTAATTTGAAGCTCAGCCTGGAGGAGACTGAATCCTTTTGTGTGCCTGCTTACTATTTGTTTAACATTTAGGCTAACATTACTGTGTGTTTTGTTTTGTTCCCATGCTCTAAATTATTCTGTAGCTATAGGTTTTAGATGACAAAGTTCCTTCCTGTTGCAGATGTTTGTTAGCCACACCAGACTGTGGAGTGGCTGCATTTCAGTGAGATGCAGTGGTGTTCAATGCACAGTGCTGTGATCAGTGATGTTCCATGCAGGCACAAGTTTAGAGGTAGTGTAGTTGGGTGAAATACCACCAAAAAATGACCAGGTTGCTCTTTTTAAATATCTTACAGGGATCTCTAAAAATGAGAGTGTCTGGAAAAAGCCTAATGCAGACTGAATGTAGAGATAGGTGTAATGGATATCCTGTTAGTATCCTAAAGAAGTTTATAGAATGCAAATAGCTGCCACTGTTTGGAGATAGGTTTGGAATATTTGTTTCAGTGCTGTGTTGCTGTATGACAGGCAGGGGAATGTGTAAAGCTGCTTCACTTCATATAGAGCTCTGTTGTAGGTATTGCACTGTTGGATAAGTCAAGATACTTACATTTGTTTCATCTATTCTCCAGCTAAAAAGACTACTCCTTTATTGAACTTCTTGAAAAACAAACAGGTAAGACTTACCTCCAGAATTTTCTTGTTGTTTGCAAGTACAATTTGCTCATTGTACATTGATACATTTCTGCCCTTCCTTTGGAAGAAGGAGCTTTTGACCCAAACTGTCAGGTTCTGGTTCATATATTTTAAAGGAGTAGAGTGTTGGAATGGTGGTGCTTTGTGTACATTCTGGTCACAGCAAAGTGCCTCTTTTTGCACTGACAAAACAGATTCCATTTTAGTGCTTCCATTTTTAGAGCTGTATGGCTGAGGTCCTTGTGGATGATCTTTCTCCTAGCACATAATGTTATTTTAACTTTTTGCAATAGAGAAATTCAGAGGTGGGGCAGATTTAATTAAAATTTGAATGATAAAGGCTGAGGCCAGTGATGTATTTGAGTTTTTAAAGACAGTACAAATTAAGGCTTATGAGTAAAAAAAATACTGCTGCAACAGGTTCACAACTGCTGTTCAGGTTCACCACAACAACAGAGATGACAGGACTTTTTTTTTTTTTTTTCTTTTATAATAGAGGTAGCTTTGAGGTGAGTTGTTTGATGGCTTAAAGAGATGTTTTCTGGTGTGGAGAGACACTTTCTCTTTGTTTTTGCATACACAGAGACTGAGAGAAGAAAAAAGAGAGGAGAGAAGGAGGAGAGAATTAGAAAGAAAAAGACAAAGAGAAGAAGAAAGAAGAAAATGGAAAGAAGAGGAGAGAAGGAAGAGAAAAGAAGCAGAAAAATTGAAGAAAGTAGACAGATGCCCAGAAAAAGAAAGAGACAGATCAAAAGAAGAACCAAAGATTAAGGTCTAGAACAGTTCTTTATTATAAACTGTTACACTCCCTTTCCCCTATTATTTGTATATCAGTCTCAAAATGTACTTTGGGTATTGTGTAAAGAATCATATGAGTTTGGTGTTAGTAAATGACCAATTTTTTTTGTAATATTCAGTAGTAGGCATTGTAAAGGTTTACATGCTGTAATGTTTCATAGCAATATTTAAAGTTTTTGTCATGTCACTGTTGTACATGCTGCGGTAAACAGGATTGTGAATTCACTATGGAATGGAGACTATTTTTAAGCTTTCCAAAACAGCCTGGTTTAGGAGAAAAATCCTAGTCTGCTGTGTGAATTATGCTTACTCATACACTCCAGCTTTTAGAAATACTGTGATTTGCAGTAATATTTCTTTAATGTTTACTTCTTTCTGGACTGTGGTTCCTTTGATGCAATTTCGGTGTTGTGCCAGACAGTATGTGTTAGAGTGAGCTTTTTAGTTGAGACTTCTGTTTTCTTTGTAGCTACTTAAGAAGCCTGAAAAAGATGAAAAAGACTTGGAGAGAAAAGAAAAATCCAAGAAACTGGAAAGAGAGACTCTGAGGGAGGAAAAAAATGCGAGTAGTGCATCTGCCAAACGATCTGATGGGGAGACAAAAGAAGAGAAGGCAAAAAAGTATTCTAGTACTTGCTATAAATATATATGTATCTATAACTTGTTTCCTGATTGTACTGAGGCTTAGGCTGCTCTGCCATGACCATGTTTTGAAATTCCTTTCAAATGCTTTTTCTCATATAAGTCATGAGCTGTGTTCTCTGTGCCAATGCACATCCCCATGATTACAGAAAGCTCTGTGAATTACCTGGAAATTCTTCATTAGTGGACAGATTTTAATATTTTTACAACTCATTATAGGAATTTACAACTCATTCCTTCCTTCACTAAGGAAGCCCATATCTAGGTGAATGCAGCAGGCTTTTAGCACTGTCCTTGCAGTTATTATAACCGTGGCAAGAGGAGAGGTGTTCTCCAGTTACCAGTCCCTCTAAGTCCTGTAAAAAGTCAAAGTGGAAAATGTAATTCTCAACAGCTCCGTGATCTGTTTGAGGTTCAGTTCTACCATGTGAGAAATACAGATAAGACAGACAAATTCAGATGTTTTTTTTTTTTCAAAGCCAGAAGAGACTCAGCCAGCTATGCAAGTAGGAGGCTGGGAAACTCTAGTGGTCAGTGTCCTCTCTGGCTGCCGTGCATGACTTGGGCTGTCACAGCCTCCCAAGAGCTCCCTAGTACCTGCCAGTGTGTCATCTTCCTATTGCACATTTACACCACTATTACATTGATCTCCCAGCTCTGTTTGATGAATCTTTTGAGCTTAATTTTCAGTTTTGTTTTCATACAGATCAGAAGATGAGTGTGTAAAGGACTACAGGGACCGAGATAGAGATTTTGAGAGAGACAGAGAATATGAGAGAGCACAGAGAGAGAAGCTGAGACGCCAAGAAGAGGAGCGCCGGAGGCAGAAAGAGCGCTATGAGAAAGAGAAGGTTTTTAGAAGAAAAGAGGAAGAGGTGAAAAAGGAGAGAGACTTACTCAGAGAAAAGGGAAAGAAAAGTGATCTTACAGACTTTACCAGCAGCATGGACAAAGCTGAGAAAGTAACCAAAGACGATAAAAAAGAGGATACAATTAAGAGGGATCGTATCAGAAACAAGGTGCTGGATTTCTTTAAATTCATGTGTTGATTCACAGGGATCTGTGGTTTTTAGGATAAAAGCACTTCAAGGAAAGAACCATGTGGTTTCTTTATTGAAACTTCTCCCAGTTGTGCAACAAATTCTGCCATTGCTAGAAATTTCCACTAAAATTTGCTTAACAGTGGTATTTCTTGTCACTGTGTAAGAACTAATCCAAGAAAACACGGGTTAAATTGTAAGACACTGATCCTTTTTATTTGCTGACTTGTGCCATAGGCTGTCTCTTTAAGGGGTTGGTAGAGTATCAGTAATCTGTTTGTGTCTGCTGATCTTATGATGCCTGAAAATGCATCTCAGTGTGGGAGTGTGGTTGAACAGGTTCCTTAAAATAGAAAACTGCAACTTGCAGAATATGACATGTGCTCTAGGCTCAAGAAATAATGTCTTGAGTGTAATTTTATGTATTCTACAAAATAAGTTTTTGCAGTATCTGTGTGCTTGTTTTATGTGTCACTTAAGACATTGTCAGGTACAAATGAAACTCAAGGTTTTGAAACTTTGAAGTTGGCCTCTCTTCTGAGAGGATATGAGCTGAACTCAACAGGAAACTCATTACAAATAACCTCAACTGTGAGCAGTGTTCATTGTGGTTTGAACAGCCATGTTGCTTTACAAGAGAGACAGCCTTGATTTGGGACAATGGAAGTTACTTTGCCACCGCTGTAGAATAATTAAACTTAGCCTGAAAAGTTTGAATTTGAGCCATTTCTAATACCATAGAAATGATGCCATAATAACCCTGAGAGCAGGGGAGTTATGAAAGAATCTAAATAGCTTTGATTTATTTCAGGATCGCCCAGCAATGCAGCTGTACCAGCCCGGAGCCCGAAGCCGGAGCAGATTGTGTCAGTATGAAGACAGTGCTGCAAAGCCCCCAGATCAGGGAGTGGATAAGAAACAAGAGGGTGAGACCAGTCACACAAAGGAAGAGGAGTGACTGATGTGCCAGCCTTACGTGTTCTGACTGTCCGTGCAGCCAAAGAGCATGTACTGCGCAATCCAGAAGTGCCTTCGGAGCGAAAAAGGAACAAAGGAAGAAAAGGGGGCATTGTGCTGTTGGATGTTTCTGGTTAAAGAACCTCAGTTGTAGATTCCAAATTTGAAATGTGTTCTCATTGTAATATTTTCAGTTATTTGAACTTATTTTCCCAGCATCTAACTACAGCAGAGAAGAGAATCTTTGCAAAATAGAAAGACTTTATGGCCTTAAGTTTGATAATAAATCAGTTGTGGTCAGGAGGGAATGACACCTGGATCAAAAGCCAGAGCTCTACTCTAAGGCAATTAGAGCCAGTGTTGGATGCACTTAAGCAGAGCAAGCTTGGAGTTGCCTGGAGTTAACACAGGTGTTGCTGTGTTGTGTGGTGCTCCTGCGTGAGGCAGTGAAAGCTCAAGTGTGTCAGTCTAGCACTGAGCCACATGCACAGGCTGGGGCTGTTGAGGTGCCAGTGGAGAGGAGCCTTTTGGCACACAAGGAGCAGAACATCTGGCAGTGCAGTGACCATGTTAGGGAGGGAGAGACCGTCCTCTTCAGTGGTTCTCTGGATAAAGTAACTTAAGTTGGAGTGTATGAATAAGCTGGCTTAATAGTTGAATATGACTTGATAAATTCTCATGTAAAGTCTCCCTACATTGAAATGGTTATTTTTAATCAAATGTAGCTGGTTTGGGCATCCTGTTCTTTTCCAGCATCTTCCCTTCACTCAAGTCTGAAACGTTTCTGACCTCCTGCCCTCTCGGAACTGCTTCCTCTTCCCTCATAACTTGAAGTATTGCTTTACAGCCCAGAACGAGACTTCGCCAGTAGCAGGTCCTCCCAAGCTAGCGAATTTTAGCCATAGCTGTTTTTTGTACTAAACCCAAATAAACTCGCGCAAACCCTCCCGGCCGCCGCCGTTCCTCACTGCGTGCGGGGCCGCCGGGCCGGCAGGGGCCGCTGCGCCCGCTGCGCCATCGCCGCTCCGCCCCCTTTCCGCCTCCTCGGACGCCGCCATCGCCGGGACGCCGCGCCGCTCCGCGCCATGGTGAGACATCCGCAGCCATCCGCGCCCTCCCGCCGCGCCCCGAGCCCCGTCCCCGAGGCCGCTGCGCTTGGGGGTCCTGGCGGGCGGGCGGCGGGGCGGAGCGGCCCGAGGGAGCGGGAGGGAGCCGGGTGCGGCATTCCCGGCGGGGCCGCGGCTGTGCCGGGGCTGGGGGAGGCACTGACCGCTGCGCTCTCTTGCAGTCGTCGCACAAGACGTTCAAGATCAAACGCTTCCTCGCCAAGAAGCAGAAGCAGAACCGGCCCATCCCGCAGTGGATTCGCATGAAAACCGGCAATAAGATCAGGTAACGGCTCGGCCGGTGCGCTCTGAGGAGCTGCGGCCGCGCAGGCCCGGCCCGAGGGCGGCAGCTGGTGGCGTTTGTGCGTTCGTGCCAGCCGCAGCGCAGTCTTGTGCCCGTGAGGCCCGTGCGGGGATGGGGGCAGCGAGGCGTCCATGCCATTTTTTTCTGTAGTGGTTTTGCATCTGTGCTCTGCAAGTGTCCACAACGTTTAGCAGTGGTACATGTAAAGTGAAAAACCGAAATGTACGTGTGGATGATTTATTCCAGATTTTGTTCTCTGGTGGCTTCTCTGTTCCTGACGTTCCCCTTCCCAATGCCTGTCCTCTCTCTTAGCTGTCCCTTTGGGCTCCTGCATTTTCAAGGAATGGTTCCTGAGCATGGATGCTCTGAGGTTCAGGGAGCAAAGGAAGCAAAGGACTTGGATGTATGGGAAGTCAGATTGATAGTATGAGATGCTTGGCACCTGACTGTAGAATTAATTTGGCACAGTTCCTTGCTTTCCTGTTGTGTTTCTCGAGCATTGTGCTTAGGGAAATGCTGAGTGCTGTGACACAATGGTGCACATGGGGCATGCACAGGGTGGTGCCTGTCCAAGCCCTCTGGTTGAAAACTGCAGCATAGTTTTTTATCTCATACACTCCTTCATCTGGGCTTTTTAAGGCAACAGAACTCCCTCTTGTTTTTCTCTCTTTGTCCTAAGCAGTGAGGAGAGCAGCAGCAGTACTGGCTGGCTCAGGCAGTGACCCAGCACGACATTGCTGGGTTCTGTTCCCGTAGCTGCTCCCACCTTGTTTGTGTCTAGGCGGGATCAGTGGTTCTTGCACTCAGCTGGATCCTTGTGTTCCATGTGCCACATCATAACTGGCTTCTGTTTCAGCTGAATTGCAGTAGTCTGAAATACTTGACCATAGGACAAATCATGGATTTCGGTCTCCTGGAACATTGCTGGGTTCTGTTCCCGTGGCTGCTCCCACCTTGTTTCTAGGCGGGATCAGTGGTTCTTGTACTCAGCTTGATCCTTGTGTTCCATGTGCCACATCATAACTGGCTTCTGTTTCAGCTGAATTGCAGTAGTCTGAAATACTTGACCATAGGACAAATCATGGATTTCGGTCTCCTGGCACTTGAGTAGCTGGGCCATGGGTTCTGCCCAAGCTTTGTGTTAAAGCAGGCTGCAATTGCAGTGCTTCCTGCTGTGGGAGTGCTGCCATTTTCCTGCTGAGAGCAACTCTGTTAACACTGTCTGTGCTTTCACCCACACCGTGGTGAAAGCATTTGTTCTTAACATGGACAAGTACATACTCACAAATTAGTGTGCTTTCATGGAAGAGACTTTCCATGTGCTGTTCTGCTTTCATGTTTAACAAATGTGTGTGTACACTTTGCTAATTCACTCTGCTTTTGTCTTAGGTACAACTCCAAAAGGAGACACTGGAGGAGGACCAAACTGGGCTTGTGAGAGAGACTGTCCCAGGAGCTCTAATGAACACTGGTCTTTGTGTGTCAGATCGATAACACCCTCGAGTCATTCCGTCTGTGGTGCTGGAGCACAGGCCCCAGTGTGGGGGTTTTATAAGCTGGTCTGGGATGTTGATGTTAACTGGGAAATCTTTGTGTCTGAAACATGGAGACTGTGTTCTATTAGTGTTCTTTCGGGCATCACCGTGAGCATTGACACTGCACAGGCTTTCTAATAAATATGGACCTGAATGACTTTTGTTTGGAAAATTATTTCATGTGCATATGGTGGGATTGTAACAATCAAATTAATGGTAATGTTAGTTATATTCTCATTTAATATGAGGAACCTTGGCAGCTCTTTTCAGGTAGAGTAGGCTCTGTCTTCCTTTTCAGACTATAAACCTTCAGGAGCAAAGTACCAAAAAAAAAAAATAAGTCAAAACCAGACCTGAAGAAAATCTCTTAGAAAACGCAGTACTGTAGAGTGCAGTGCATAATGTCTGTGTACTCCCTATAGTGTTAAATACCATGAGTTTTGGTGGGGAGTCTGTGTTGGTTTGATAAATCAACACCAACCAGAAGTGCACCTTAGTATAAAACATTCTCAGCAGACAGGTAGAAATTGAAGATGGGGCTCAAAGGGAGAGTTTGCAGCTATTTAAAAAAGGGGAGAGGAAAAAAGGGATTAAGGGTTTCTGGGCAGTTGGCACTCCAGCTCCCCTGTGCTGGTGCTCTCTGCTGGGGCCTGTGAAACCAGTTCACTGCAGGGAGGTGGAGGAGGAGCTGTGGCTCTGCACCCCCTCCTTTCTGTTCACAGCTCTGAGCTGGGGTCACCGCTCTGGTCACCAGGAAATCCCTGCTGGTGAGAGCCTGTTCTGGGCTGTGGCCAAGCCCATCCTGACACTGAGGGCTGCCAAGGTGCTGCCTCGTTCCTGGGCTCAGCCTCAGGTCCTGGGTCTGTTCCTGGGAGGCAGCTTCCTGGTCAGGCTGCCATACCTTCTGTGTTGCTGCTTTTCACACTGAAGGTAAATAGATCTATCTCCTTTGTATTGCAACTCAGAGCAAATAATGCTGGGTACAGCATGTGCCAAACAGGTAAATGCTAAAAAACACATATCTCACTCAGAGGCCATGAGCTCTTGTTCCTAAGGTGTGCTGAGGGTTCTGTGGGTCAGGGTGAGCAAGGCTGGGATTTTTACCAGCTTCAGGATACTTCAGAGGTATCCTCCAGCTCCTCATCCTGTCTGGTAAGAGTCTGGACTCCATCATCAGGGGGAAGCAGTAAGTCACTGCAGCAGGAAAGCAGCAAACAGCATTGCCAGAGGTGTTTGAACAGAGCCTCCTTGCGTGCTGCAGCCACCTTGACTTCAATGATTTTTAAACTTTTCTGCACTCTTCCTGAAGTGAGTGTTCAGGAAATAACAGCACTGCTGAGGATTGGAGTTCTGCCTTGGCATCCAGCTTACCTCCTCCAGCCTCTCCCCATCACTGCTGGCAGGCAAAGCTGCTCATAGAGTTTCTCTGTAATTGTGTCTATGGGGATCTGGCTGAGGAGGAAAACAGCAATTTTATGGACTTGAGAAGGGAAAGAGACAGTTTTTTTTCCATGGCATTTGTAGGAAAACTTTCCTGAGCAACAGATTGGACAATTTATTACCATTTATTAGAAAGTCTCCCTGTTACTATCATGACTAATATTTTTATTAGATGGAAGTAGTTTCTACTAAGGAACTGTTTTGGAAAATAACTCCTTGTATTATTTTCCCTATTTGACTGAATCTGTTTTTCAAGCTGGACATTAAGGGATAATATAAAGTAAATTTAGTACTAATTAAACTTGGGTTAAACTCAATCCTCTGCAGAACCTTAACCAAACAAATATTTCTGGGTTTGGATGTTTTCTGTTGTCTCTGGCAGCTCTCTTTGCTTTGTCCCTGTAAAAGGGGATCAGGAATCTCTGCAGAACTGGGCTAACACATGATAACTGAGACATCAACAGAAGCTTTAAAGAAAAAAATATTTGGATATTCTAGTCCATTGATTTTTGTGGATATGTTTTGTTTTCTGAGTGAAAAGCAAAGCTAGAGCTGCTTGTGTAATTGAGGAATATTTTTCTAAACATGTCTCTGTACCCAAATCCACTGCCTTTCTGTAGGTATGAAAATGAACCAAGACAAAGGGGTGGGTCACTGGAAGGAAATCTTTATTTTCGCTCAGTGGAAAAGGACCCACCCAGGGCAGGGGGTGACATGGTGAGGATGTTGTGACACATCTAGAGAAGCAGACTTCTGGTCCTGCTCTGAAGTCCCCACCTAATTTGTCTCAGCCCAGAATACTGGGTCAAACCCATGACCAAAAGATGAGGGCAAAAGCTATCTTTAGAGGGTTTTGGTTATCTCTCAAGAGGAGGTAATAACTGAAAATCATTTTGTCATATTTAGGTGTAACATTTGTCAGCCAAATTTTACTTTCAAGTGGAACATTTTAAGTCGATGTTTCCGGGTGGAGCATGACTAAGCCACAGGTACTATTGCCAAGGAATTGCGCCTTCAAGGAAATTCTCAATTCCACTGTTTACCCTGTGCCTTACTCAGAGGAGGATGTAAGAGCCATCCTGTGCCCCTTCCCTGACCCCTGTAAAAAGGTGACGGAAGACTAATAGGTAAAAAGAATATTTTGTCAGTCCTGTCTGTCTTATCAACAGCACTGTGGTTGAAAGTGAACTTGACACCAGTGCTGTTCATGGAGTTTGTGCTGGCATGAGCAGACTTGTGAGAAGCCAGCTTGCTCTCCCATGGCATGGACGTGGCCACAGCAGCTCCAGAAGGAGCTGCCTTGCCAACATCTTCAATCTGTTAGAGCTAAAGCATTACAAGACTGTTGTAGATCAGGCATTAAATCTAGTTCTATTGTGTTTTGTATGTATCTGCTGCCGTCCTTAGGGATTAAAAAGATGTCCAGACACATCTATATATCCACCCAGGCACCTGGACTGGGCATTATCCAGTCACTGGATCCCTGTTCACTCATGTGGAGGCTGCTCTTCCACATGTCATTACTGCAGACTGGGTTATTTTGGTGTCCAAGCAGTCTGAATATAACTGGAGTTTGCTCAGGATCTGTGAAACCCCCCAGCTCTAGTTCCCCAGAGGAAGTTACCTGTGTGTCTTTGTGTATCTTTCTGCATCAAGATGCAAATGAACTTGTGTAGCCAGGCCAGATCACCTTGAGTCCCTCAGTCACCCCTGCAGGCCCCTTGAAAGGCAGCTGGAAAGAAAACCACAACTGCCCTCCTAAAGGAGTTGTCCCTGCAAGGGCTGCCCTGGGGAACAGAAACTCCCCAGTTCCTGTCTGAGGAGCACTTCTCAAACGGGACTGCTATTTCAGGGTGTAGGAATAGTCTCATGCTGATGAGAAAGAGGAAGGGGCTGTTGTTTTTCTGAAGATATTTTGAAGCAGTACTGGCCTTTGAAAAATGTAAAAAGCAAGTTGAAATCATCAGGGCAGAACTCCACTTGGTGAACAAAACACAAACAGGTGAGCAGAGGCTTTGCCCTTTTAATGCAGTGACTGAGACATACACACACTGTTATGCTGCTGCAGCAATGTTCATCAGTTTCATTTTTGAGCATGACCTCAGTAGCAATAAAAATAATCTCACAGCCTTCACATACCTTTTCCACAGTTTCTGAGAATGAATCATCTTTCCAGAGCTGTTGCTGAACTCTAATCCCCACAGGAGCCACCACGTGCTGCCCCCCTTGTGTCCTTCCTGCCTTCTTTGCTCTGGCCCCCATTCCTAATGAGGCTGAGCACTTCAGGCTTCCTGGGATGGGGATCTCGAGGGAAGGACTGCCAGTGTGAGTTGTTTTGCATTTAGAAAGGCTTCTCTTGGCCTGGACTTTTCTGACAAACAGGGCCCTTAGTTCTTATTCTACTGAGAATCAGCTTTATAATCAGTTGTCATAAACAAACATCAGCCCTGAGAAGGTGCATATGGCAGAGATCAGGAGATCTCAGGGAGCTGGAAGGCGTTTGCAGCATGAGATCCACACACGGTGGGTCAGCATCCTCCTGTGGGCACGCAGGGTGTTGGAGCAGCTCCCCAGAGCTGAGCTGACATGTGAGCCCCAACCATGGCGATCTGCTGGGATGCAGCAAGGAGTCCCCATCCACGGGGCAGGGGGCACAACCCCCTCTGCAGACAGGCAGTTTTTTGGAAGGGCTGTCCCAAGGTACTGCTCCCAATGGCCGTGGTGCTCCACACACACACTGGAATAGCCCCAAAAGACCACAAGAGCCAGGGTGGCCATGGTGCCATGGCTTAACCCTCACTTGGCCAGGATTTTGAGTAGCCAAGTTCCCATGTCCCTGCAGGCTTTTCCGGCTGCTATCCACCATGGGTTTACCGGTGAATGGAGCCAGGAGCTTCAGCGCTCCTGGAAGAAAGCAAAGGCCTGTCTAACAAAGCCTCGCAGGGTCGACAGGCCCCAGGAGTGCTGGGCTTTTCCCTCGGCCCCGGAGTCCACAGAGTCCTGCCCTGCCCCAGCCTCTCTGGATGACTTACAGTTGTTGTTGGTGTTGTGAGAGTGCAGCTGGACCAAGTCCTCCTCCAAGGCCCCTGCCAGCTCCTTCAGGTCCCTGGAGCTGTCTGCTGGCAGGTACTGCCAAGCCTTGCGCCCGTTGTGGTCCCTGCAGGTGGTGTCTGCCCCGTAAGCTCCCACCAGCACCTTGATGAGCACCTCGTGTCCCTGCAAGGCAGCCAGGTGCAGAGGGGTGAGCCCGCCGCTGGCTGTGGGGATGTTCATGTTGACAGGGTAGCCTTTCTTCTGGGCATGGGAGATGACCTGGATGAAGCTCTCATGGTGGCCATGCTTGGCAAGCCAGTGGAGAGCGGTGAAGCCTGTCACGAAGTCTCTCCTGGTCAGCAGGCTGGGATCCAGGTCCAGCAGCTTGATGATGCTGTCCGCATCGCCCTCGGCCACCGTCAGCAGCCATGCGTGCTCCAGGGGGTCAAGGACAAGCGGCAGCAGATCAGGGCTCTGCTCAGGCTTCTGCTCTTGCTGCAGCCCTGCAGGGAGACTGCTGCTGCTGGATGTCTTCTGAGCAGCGGCAAACCGCATGGTGCTGCCAGGGCTGTTGCTCTGCAGGAGGATTTCCTTCAGCTCCCTCCTCCGGGTACTGCTGGGGCTAACGGAGAACCTGCCTGAAGTCCTGCCCCAGCTCCCCAGGCTGTGCCTGCCCCAGTTGATGCTTTTGTTGGTGTCCATCTTCTGCAGCGTATGGAAGCGCTCCCTGCTCCCCAGGGTGGCAGACCAGAGATGGGAGCTGCGGGCCGGGCCGGCCGCTCGGGGCTGGGCGGCATCCAGGAAGGAGAAGGGCCGGGAGATGCCAGCTACCTTCTGCTGTGCCTCGCTCTGCTCCCGCTCCTGCCGGGCCATGGCCGTGCCTCTCGCAGGGCTGTCCCCAGCAGGGCACAGCTCACGCTGCCGCACTCACCCCGCGCTTCCCCTGCCGGCCCCAGGCGAAGGAGGAACCGATCCCGCACGGCGGCAGGGCACGGCGGAACCGGGGCGGCGCAGGTGACCTTTGCTCACGCCGTGTCCGTGGCTGCGGCGCGGCCTCCGGCGCGGGCGGGCTCTGCCCCGGCCGCGCTCCGAGCCCGCGGGAGCCTGCGGGAGTACGGGGAAAGTGCGGGAATACAGGGAATGTGCGGGAATACAGGGAGGGTGCGGGAACACAGGGAGAGTGCGGGAATACGGGGAGAGTGCGGGAATACGGGGAAAGTGCGGGAATACAGGGAAAGCGTGGGAATACATGGAGGGTGCGGGAATACAGGGAGAGTGTGGGAATACAGGGAAACTGTGGGAATACGGGGAAAGTGTGGGAATATAGGGAGCATGCAGGAACACAGGGAAGGTGTGGGAATACAGGGAGGGTGCGGGAATATAGGGAGGATGCAGGAATACAGGGAAGGTGTGGGAATACAGGGAGGGTGCGGGAATACAGGGAGGATGCAGAACCGCAGGACCGGACGGGGGTCCTGGGCAGCTCGGTGCTGACAGCACTACAGCAGGGATTGATGAACTGTATTCTCCCGCCTGAACAGTCTGGTTTAGCACTGCTGGCTCAGCATTTGCACCTGAAGTAGCCAGAGCCTTAAGGCCGTAAGAGCTGGCCAAACACAAACTGCTAACAAAGCACACTTGGAATTCAGCAGATATGAGCAGAATGGAGATGATAAGGGCCAAGGAGACGATCCCAGGAGAATAAAGTAACATCAGAAGGCAGCCAGCCCAGCTGCAGTGAAACCCAGCAAAAAATCAAGATACTGCCAACCAGAATTTAGTGATTGACTTGGATTGGGGGATGAGTGTCAGGGTATAACTGAGAGGTGTGAACTGGGGTAGGGGTTCCTCTCTGGAAGCACCAGCTTGAGCTGTAACCAAAGAACTAACAGAAGACCCATTGGAAACATTCACTTGAACCAGCATTCTCAGCAGGATCAGACCCTGTTACATTGTCTGGTGTGTGTAAATCCATGACACTGGTCCCAGGACACTTCCTCTGACCCCAGCAGCACCCCAAGGCTGTGTCACTGAGGCGATTGCCTTACAGCCCCCCTGGAACAATGCTTCTCCTCGATGCTGTGCTCAGGAAGGCCCAGGTTACTGCCCCAAGAGGCCACGTTCCCGGTGGCTGGTGGGTTTCTCTGATGTAAGGGAAGCCCAGCCTGGGACACTGTTTGGCTCCTTGCCACCCAGTATTTCATCCCACAGGGAATTTGGCCTTCCTCTTGCTGTGATCCCCTTTGTAACAGTCCATGCCTGGCGTTGCTGGCAGCTGCAGCCACCAATAGTCTGTATCCTAATTTTGTTAGAAATCAGGACTAATCCTTCTGCCCCAAAAGCTCCCAGTCCTCTTTCTCTCCAGAAGTTTCTTATCCATGACTGCTCTGACACCCGTGGCTGAACTGTCACCAGGTGGTTTTGCAGCTGGTCAGGCAGCTAAAAGCCACAACAGCCCCTTGAAGCTTTTTTCTTTGCCTTCCCTAAGCTTTAGCCCTGCTCTGACTTGCCCTGAGCTGGTTGTGAGCCTTGAGGGCCCTTGCCTTTTTCCAGCCACTTGGACCAGTTTTTCTGGGATGTGTGGGGAGTTGGTGTGATCTCAAACCCCAAACAACTGGTGGTGAAAGCATAATTGTCCCCTTGTTCCCTTTCTGGAGCTGCCTGATGTTGTCACTGGGTTTTGGTGGCTTCTGTGGGCTCAGGGAGGCAGAGAACTTGAACCACACAGCCATGAGATCCTGGTGAACGCTTGGGTGGCATCTGGGGAAAACAAGAAGGGAAATAAGGAGCTGCTCTTGGCGAATGAAGGCATTAATGGTGTAAAGCAAGCCTCCCATTTAGGGCCAGGACACACTGGTGAACTCTGATCATGATAAAACCAGGGTGACAACCTCGGGGACTTTACTCGGAAAGTTACTTTGGGGAAGGACTGAGTTTCCTCTGCCTCAGCCTCGTTTGGTGCTCGTGCTGCCATCAAATGAAGGGAAACCCAAGCGGCACCGGCTACACCCTGGAAGCTGCGGCTGTGCTCAGACAGGCCGGGAGGAGCGGAGGCGCCAGCGGAGGGAACCGGGCACAGCCGCCCTCAGCCGGTGCCCGGGCGGGCCCGGGCCGTCCAGCGGACCTGGGACAGGGCAAGTCCAGGACATTCCGCTTGAAACAGCAGCTCATCTGCAGAGCCTGGGGGACCTGCACGGACCCAAACCGCGAACCCCAGCCCAGCCTCGGGGCTGCACGGCTCGGCCCCGGCCCGGCCCGTGTGACCGTAGGGGCCGCAGGACACCGGGCCGGGGCCCCCTGGGCCTTCCCGAGGAGGAAGCGGCGGGGAACCCCTCCCCGCGCTGGCAGCGGGCAGGGGCCGAGCGGAGGCTGCCGGGCAGCCCGCGGGGCAGGGACCCGCCGGGCCGGGGACCGGGACCCCTCGGCCGGAGCTCCGCGCTCGCCTGGCCCCTCGAGCCGCCGCCCCGAACCTCCGCCCGCCCCGCCCGCAGCCGGGCTGCACCATCGCGAGCTGCTGCGGGGAGGGACCGGCGGCCCCGCTCCTCACAGAACGCAGCGGCGGCTGCGGCCTGACCGGCGGGAGCGGTGGGGCCGAGCAGGGCGGGAAGGCGGCGGGGCGGGGCGGGGAGCGCGCAGCGATGGCGGCGGCCGAGGTGGCGCGGCAGGTGCGGGTGCATCGCGGGGGCTGGGCGGCAATGGAGCGGGGGGCCGGTACCGGGCAGCGCCGGGGCGGCGGGCGGGAGAGCCGGGCATGGCCGCGGCGGCGGGGCCGGTTCTGGGGGCGCCGGGCGGGCTGCGAGGACACCGGCCTGGGGCCTCCCGCGGGTTGGGAGACTCGGTTCGGAGCGGCGGCGGCGGCTCCAGGATGGCCGGGCTTTAGGGGCCGACCCGAGGGGAGCTGAGCTTACCTGGGGTAGAGGATGTTGGGGTGCCCCACGCTGCAGCCCGGCCCGGCGACCTTGGCTGCCCGCGCCGCGGCGGGCCGGGGTCCTGCCCCGCCGGTGCCCCCGGGCCCGGCCCGACCTGCCGCGCTGCAGCGCTGGGGAGGCCTGGCCGTGCATCCCTTACCCCGGTCTGGGGGCCCCTCGGCGGGCCAGGGCACGGCTGTGGCATCCCTGCCTCTCCGGGGATGCTGCTCTCCTCCCAGGGAAACCCTCAGCCCGTGTTCGGTGGTGCGGGAAGGGGAGGTCTCCAGTGTGGCTCCGCGGAGGAGCCGTGGCAGCCAGACACCAGCGCCGTGTCCCCGCTGCGCTTTGTCCCCGAGGGTCCCCGTAGTGCCACCGGCCGCTGCCGGGCTCGCCCGCCTGCCTAGCGAGGCACAAGATCCCTGTGTGTCTGCGGAGAATTATCCAGAAGAGAGGCACGGGGGGTTGAGCCACCTCTGCGTTTGTCAGAGAAATGCTAAGGAGGCATCTGTAACGCGTTTGCATGTGGAAAGGTTTTGTCTGTGGTTTGATGGGCTTCCAACTTTCATGTCCATGTGTTAATACAGAAGTATTACTTGAAGTGAATGCTCTCCAGTTTCATCTTCAAAGCAGTATGTTTTAGCATGGACCCAAGTCTTGCTGAACGGGTAGATGTACCATTCCTTGCCAGTTTGTGATGTTATTTCCTCCTGGACATACACATTGCCTTGTATGTGACTGCCAAAATACGTGAAGTGACTCAGTTGCTCCCGTCTTTTAAAGAAATTGAGTGTTATGCTTTCCTAAGATAATGTACAGGAGTTTGTGGCCTGGAATGAATTTATGATACTGCACAGCCTCTCTTTGGAGGCAAAAGGAAAAGCTGGCTGTGAGACAGACTTGAAATTAGTGTGCTGCAAATTGAAAATGGCCTTTTACAAACAGGTAACTTGTCAGCCAAGGTCTTGGGGATCTGGTTTGTGGAGCTGTCAGCTGTGATGTCCTGGTGGTGCAGAGGGCTGTGTGTGTGCCAGCAGGGTTGAAGGTGTGAGAGCTGGGGCTGGGTTTGGGGAGGAGCTGGGGTTACCACCCTGCCATTGTCCCAGAGAACCCTTGATCAAGCCCACACTTACTGCAGGGATAGTCAGTGAAACCCCTTCTCCCCAGGTGGGCAGGGTGGCCTTGTCAGCACCAAGCTGAGCCCCTTCTCCTGTCCTCTGCCAGCGGGGAGGATGGGGGCACAGGAGCATCTTGCCAGGCACTGCCCAGCTCTCCGTATCCAGCAGAGGTCAGAAACACTGAGACTGCTGATAGTGATATGTATCTTCCAACTGCTGACTTCCCCGGGAATGTATCCAAACTGCGTGGCGTTTCTGCAGCCTTTTGTCAGGGGCATAAAGAAGCGTAATCTTAAGAGCTGTCAGAATTCGAGATTTCGGAAGCACTTGACTGTTTGTGAATGTTGAATGGCCGAGTGATGCTGTGTGTCTGGAGAGGGTGGTTGATCGTCAGGACCTTTGGTGAGACACTTCTTGCTTTCCATGGGGCCTGATTCAAAACTATTTCCCTCCCACTCTTCTGGTGTTTTTCTTTTATATTCTTGATGATCTTTTATCAGCTGAGCAAGGAAAAATAATACAGAGTCTTTATCTAGACTTTACATTCCTAATTTACATTTATCTTGTGGAGGATGTTTATACTGTCTGCTGGATAATTCTTACATTACATAGGAGAATTACATACTTGTACAAGTGAGAAATAATTGGTACAAGTGTTGCTCTGATTTGCTGTTTAATCAGAACCAAATGCAGTCTGGGGAAGTGAATGCCATAACTCCAAGGTCATGAGAAGGAATCTGATGTTGTTCTGGCTTAAAGATGATATGAAAAACTGGTGTGGAAACACGAGTTCAGGTTCTGCCTTGCTTTGCCGTTTGACTTCTTGTGCAAGAGTTGTCTCAGGTTTAGGGGTTGAGCCCCCAGGTTTCAGCATTAAGGGCAGCAGAGGGGCAGGAGGTGGCTGCTGTGGGCACTGGCAGCAGTGATGCAGCTCTGTGAGCACTGCTGTATTTGGTTTGGTTGCAGGATGGTGCTGCTGTGTTGGTTGTGGCAGTTTGGAAATCTTTCTAAGGGAGTCTCCAAGGCATCAGGGTTTGAAGTGGGAAGAAGTGAGAAATTGTGTCAGAGGTACTAAGTGTCAGTTGTCAGTGTCCTGAACAGAAACACTCAGCTAGATGAAGTATTGTTCTGCAGCCTCTGAGAGCAGTTTTGTGCTGTGTGGGCCTCATTTGGACACAGGGTCCCTTGGGTTCAGAGCTGTATCATTCTGTATTTTCTTTGCTGTGCTCTGCCTGAATGTCACCAAGTGGAGGCTTGGCCTTTGCCATGGAATCCTTTCTCATCGCTCCTTTGGACCTGGGCACAGACGTGGTCCCGAAGGTGCAGCGTTGGCATTTGCAATGGGCAGCACCATTGTGTGTGCTCTGCTTTAGCTCCACAGAGGCAGTGGCCTCTCCAGGCTCTGGGGACTCAGCAGGTGACAGTGCTGTACCTGCTTGTCCTGCTAAGCAGATCAGGGCACAGATGTGCATTCAGGAAGATTTTCCTCTAAGCATATTTTCATCCAGGGACCCTGGAGTGATTCAAACACCTGAAGACTAAATCTTGCCCCTTTTCTGATTGTTAATGGATGGTGCTTTCAGGCTTGGGGTCATTCATTATAACATCTTTGTATTTTCCTTATGATTTGGATAGTTTTCTGTAAGAATTAGAGTAGGTGGTGGTGGGTTCTGTGGCATGGAGAAGCCTTACAAAAGGCTGTATAAATCCTTCTAAGAAAGGAAGAAGTAAAACAGCTTCTCCAAGTGGCTGCTCCTTACTTACTCTCCTTACTTTCACTTTGCAATAGCCCTGCCTGATAATACAGCAAGAGAGTGCGTTGCTCTTTTTGTTCTTTTAATCTTGTTTGTGACAAACACACTTTACTTCCTCCCCAGCAACAACAGCCCAATCTGTCTAGGCAGGGGGCACTCTGTGTATGTGGGGAAAAAAAGGCATCTGGTATCTTGGTGTGGTGCCAGTGTTCACACTGGCTTTCCAGAGATTCCATCTTTGTCTTCCTTCCAAGAAGATGTAACCTTAAAATAGAGAACACAAAGGACTCTGAGCCATCCAGCACTCACTGATGCTCCTGGAAAAAGCCTTCATGTATACAGTAGTTAAACTTTGCTTACCTTGTTGGTTCCTCTTTATATGTTTTAAATTTGATCTGGTTTGGGAGATGAATGATGGAAGACAGTCTTGAACACCTTATCAGCAAAAAGCTTATAAGCTTAACATATTCTCCTTCAGTGTTGAACAAGGGGATCCAAACCTACATTTAATATACACCCAGGATGACTAATCAGTGTGTTCATATGTTGTTTATGGTGGTGCTGTTTATATATAGCAGTGCTCCGGTACAGAGACACCACTTGGTGCTTGAAGACTGGTGACTTGCACTGTTTCTTGGTGGATCAGACAGAAAATGTTTCTTTTCTCTCCACTGGTTTGGTAATTACTGTCAACTTTCTGATGAGTGTCAAAACCAGGCACTTAAAATGTATTTTTTTTTTCCCCACTGCATCCAGTCTCTTGATGCCTTGGCCAAGGAGGCTGTAGATTTTTAGGCAGAGTAGCACAATATACCTTATGGCTGTGTACTTAACATGGAGACTTAGCTGCTGTGACTGGAAATCCCATTTTGCAGTAGTTGTTTCCTGGCTGTACCAGATGTGAAGTGTGGTTTAGCTGCATTGTAAAACCACAGGTGACTAGAAAAAGAACCTACAGGAAATGACTTGCAGGCCGAATTCTGTGTGATGGTAAATGCCTCCTCTTAGCTGAGAGTGGCTTAACTTCTACCATTTATTTTGTTCCATCTGGATCACACTTATATTTAGGGATGAGGGGATGATTTGTTCTTAATGAGAGCCCACACTCCTGCCCACGCTTCCTGGGGAGAGTAGTGTTCAAGCAGTCTTCCAGTGGTGTGGTTTTAGGGCTGAGTATTAAAAATACACTTGATATTTCTCCTTCCCTAGGAGCCATCTCGGGTTGTTCTCTTCCTGGGCTCTGTCCCCCCTCTGTTCTTCACCAGGACCTGGGGCTGTCACTGCACATCCAACACTGCCATGAGATTCCCCAGGGCTGGGTTTTGTTTGGTGAATGCAGTTTAGGAGAGTTTGAGTGTGTTGTCACAAAATCTGTGTGTCTGACACTCTCACTTTCTTCTGCTTTAGCTGGTTCTACATTACTGGATCTCACAGCTGCATTGTCAGTAGGCAATACCAGAATCTGCTGGGGAGCCTGAGTGCTTTCCTCATGAACATGTCATTAGGAGGGAAGGTGCTCAGGAATTAATGAAGTGCCATATTTGGTGAACATCTTGTCAAGAAGAGTCAGACTAATACACAAAATATGGCCAAGGGGAAACATATTTACACATCACAGGCTGGTAAATATGGTTAATGATTGAAGTGTATTTGGAGCCTCATATCTGAAAAAAAACCAATCCAAACCCACAACAGCAAAACAGTAACAAGACAAGAAAGCATACTGACAGGCTACTGTAGTAAATGTAGTCCTTGGGGATGTTTTCCCAGCCTAAAATACCAGTGCCATTAGCAGAAGAGGGAAAACCAGTATTCCTGTCCCTATAAACAGGCTTTCAAGATACGTGAAAGCATGACTGTGAAAGAATAAATTCAAAATCACACCCTATAAACTACTGCCTTTTGGCTGTAGTATTATTTGCAAACTGATGGAAGGCTAGAGGGGAATTTTGTGATTTTCACACTAAAATACATTTTTAAGAAAAGTCTTTTCTTCAGAGAGGGAAATACCTTTTTGGGGCTGCAGGAGGACAACTCTCCAGTACACACCAATACAGGGGTGCAGCACTGGCTCTTCATTTTGCCTGGTGCCATTTCTGAGGCTGAGCCTCTGTGTGTTGTGTTTTACTGTTGGCTGGGCAGGGTTGGGATCCAGGCTGCTTTGGCACAGACTGGCCAGGCAAAGATTTCTGACTCTCTCCCAAAGCTCGTGGCTGTTCTGGGCATGGAGCACCACGTGTTCTGCTTGGCTGGGGAGACCAGATTAGTGGTGTTGAGCACAGGGGAGAGCAGGGTGCAGGAGCAGCTTCTCAGGAAGTCCTTTGGGTGGCTGGGCAGGAGCAGCCCTTGCCCCCAGCAGGAGGTTTGAGTACCTCCACTCCCAAACCCTCTTTGCAGGCTCCTTCAGGCCTGTGGGGTTATGGGCAGCTCAGTTTTGGTCACTCTTTCTCTGCTTTGTTTTCCTGTAGGTACAGTTTCCCTTACTGTTTCTAGCTGATTTCTGTAATTGCAGCTATGAATGGGAACTACATGTGAGTTCCAGTTCACATACAGTGAATGGTAATAGCCTTGTAGGAGGAGGTGTCACTAATACATTGCTTTGCACAGAGGATTCTTTTTGTTTTCAGTATAAGGTGAGACTTGAGTTTCTGCATATTTTTTTGAAGAAACAAATGTTTTTCACCTCTTCACAGCTGTGTTTGTGTACATGTTTTGCACATTTTAGTGTTATTTTCTCAGGGCTACCTTCAAGCGTTTGACAGATGAAATGTTGTATTTGTGCCTTCTGGAATTGTTTTAGAGAGGAGTGAAGCATGCTGACATGATTGATAGATCTGTGCAAATCTCTGCTTGGACTGTGCAGTTGGTTCCACTTGGGAGGTCTTAAGGGTTTATACAGAGAAGTGTATTTTGCTTGAAAGTGACACAAGTATTTCACTGTATTTCAGGGTGAAGGCTGTCGTACTGTCCCGCTCTCCGGACACGTGGGATTTGACAGTTTGCCTGACCAGCTGGTTAATAAGTCAGTTAATCATGGGTTTTGTTTCAACATCCTGTGTGTGGGTGAGTATTTCCATTTTGGGAAGTTCTCTTGCTGAAAAGTTTTCTGCAGCTGGATGTAGCTCATAGCTTACAGCACTAACAAGGTAGCTTTGATTGAAATTTCCCCAACTGTTCTATTTTCAGTAATAAGATTTTCTGGTGCTCTGGGAAATCCCTACTGGGGTTCTGCAGTGGCTTTCTACCGAGCAGTGAGATAAAATGCCTAAAATCACAGGCTGTTATTATGATCTTTCTTTTCCTCATATGTTTGAATTTCACATTTTTTAAAGAAAATAGGTACTTATGCCAGAGTACTTTGTTATGAGGTCTTGTTTGGTTAAGTATTGAATTAATGTTATAATTATTATAATTATTTTAACAAAATACTAATCATGCTTCTCTTAAATCACTAAAAGCTATTTTTTTCTCCTCCCTTCTGTGCATACTTGAATTAAGATAGTGTCTGGCCAAGCCTTAACTCTTCTGACAATTATCCAGGCTGCCATGTGGTGTGGATCACAGCTGGGGCCTGGCACTGTAGCAGGACTTGGTGTCTGTCCCTGCAGCCCATCTCACAGCGTTAGGATCCCAAATAATCCCTTCTCTTAGGTAACAGAAGTAAAACTCTGTATGACTTTGGTACCATGGTTTAGGAAGGTAAATTAGGAAATGAAGAGTGGAGCATTAGTAATTGATGGGTTTGCTGCTGGCAGGGCCCTGCCCTGGAGGTTGTATGGCTGCTCGGACTGAGCCCTGTCTGCAGATGATCCCAGCAGGGCCTGGTGTGGCAGGGGCACAGCAGCAGCTCTGGATACCTCCTGGGGACTCGGCTGCTGGTCAGCCCTGCGTCCACACAGAGGAATTCTGTCCCCTCCCATGAGAGGTGCAGCTCATGGTATGGGCCTGGTGTTTGCCCAGAACAGGGTTGAGTCTGAAACGAGAGTAGTGGAGCAAGGAGAGGAGAGCTGAGCCCTGTTAAATGGAGCTGAGAAGACAGTTTTCCTTACAGCCACATCTTACATTCCTGTGAGATGATAAACTTTGCTGACAAGTGGAGGTCACTGTCAGGCTGAGTCTCTGGGTGATTTCCACAGTACATGAATGTGATATGACCTAAGGAAACTCCTCTCCCCAGGACTGAAGTCTAAAAGTCTTTCCTTTTCCACTTACTGGGCTGCAGTGTTTTTTTTTACAAGTTCTAGATGTAGCAGTGGGTGCCTCCTGTAGTTTTATCTTCACTTTGAATTGTGGAGAGGAGCTGAATGCATGTGCTTTCTTCTTTGCAGGACAGAAATTGAATACATTAATCACTTGTTGAGGTGAATAACAAGGACTCACCAAGATAAATGTATATTAGCTGCTAATGTCAGTTTCTTATGAATAGTAATAACACAATCTTGAAATAAAGAAACTTTGTAGAAAAATATAATAAACTTAGAAAAAGATTTGCAAATCTTTGCCCCCACACTTAAACATCCTGGAGAAAGAAAACAAAAATTCCCAGTGTTCATCTGTCATTTATTCTGTTGTATTTCACTTGTACAGCAGACTTTGGGATGAAAAATTGAAAGAATAAGGAAGCAGATGAAGATTGGATGAGAATCCCATAGACAGCCTACTAAGCATGACAGAAAGAGACTTTTTTCCCCCCATTTTTCAGCTATGTGTGGCATCTGTTGGAGGAAAAATCCAGTGATAATTCTACTCTGTGTCATACTGGATCTGTGCCACTGATTCCTGCAGCTCTTGCTGTAGAAGCCAAGGAAAGTTTCAGAAATGACTCTCAGCAGCATGTCCAGAGTGCAGCAGTTTTTAGCTCTTCTCATGCTGAAAGCTGTCTCCCCTGTGAAACTAGAGCCAAAGCTAGAATGAATGAGAAAACCTCTCATTAGATGTTAGGGGTTGCAGATGGTTTCTCTGATATTTTATTTCTCAGCATAACCATTTTCTTTCTAAACCTTACATGATAAATTTTTAGTTGCCTCTTAGTTCAGTGCAAAGGCTGGAGAAGTGTTTAATGGCTGAGACTTTCTGTGCTGACTGTATTTCTCAGTGAGATAGGGGAAAAAGAGGAGGAACAGGCTGCTGGTTTTTGATGTAAACTTTCTCAGTTTTTGCCGGGGTAGATTGTAGTTGCATTAAACTAGTATCCAGTTTAAGAAGGATTTTGCCCCTTCCTCTCTCCCAGGATTTGCAGGGAATTTGTTCTAATTGGCCTATTCAGTGCAATGAGAAAGGCTGTTTTGTGGCAGAAATACTTCTGTCTCCCCCGGGACTGTACCAAGACTGTTTGAGGTCTGTCACTCCTGTGATGTGCAGGAGTCTCACCCTGGGGGAGGGAGGCAGGGAGGGAGGGAGGGATGTGCACAGGATTCCTGGTGCTCTCCAGCAGGCAGTTCTCTGGGGTGTTGAGCTGTACAGCCTGGAAGTTGCCCAGTGGTTGTTTCTGTGGTCACTGGTGCAAGCAGCTGAGGAGAGAACAGCTTCTCTAATCAAAAAGCCATCTGTCTCCTCAGCCTTCTCCTGCCTGGTGCCCTAGGGGGATGCCAGGAGCTGGGTGCCTCTCCGAGGAGGTGTTTCAGTGTATTTTGTGAGCCCTTGTTGCCCTCCTTGCCCATGCAGCCCAGCCTTTGCCTGGCTGTGGGGAATTGTGTGATGTCTCTGCATGCCTGTCAGATGAAACAAACTATTTTCCCTTCTGTCCTTGAGAGATGGCCTTACCAGTCTGAGTTGCCTCAGGGCTTGTCTCGACAAACCTGCTACATTGGATTAGCTCCTATTTCTACACATGAAAAGGCTGTGCATGCATATACATTTTCTTTAAAATTGAATTATTTGATATCTGGAGCCACGGTTGTTCATCTTGTGAAGGGAAGGGGCTGCTCTCTGATGAAAGGAAGCTCTTGTGAAAGCTGCTCCCTGCCTTTGAACAGGGAAATACTCCAGGGACGACTCTGTCCTCCCACAGAGTCGATTGATGATGATGTGATTGGGGCCTCTTAAATCCGGAGTGTTGTGGGAAAGGGAGACAGTGAGCAGTTGCTTATTTCGCTTAGCACATACTAGGGAAAAGCAAATTAAATTTCTAGGCACAAAAGGAGGAGGTGCAGCTTTTGTGGTGCATAATTCAGCTCACTGCTGCAGCTGCTTAGGATGCTAAAAGTCCTGTGAGAAGAAGCCATGACAATTCATTCAGCATGAAGATGCCTGTCTTGGTTTGGGAAGTTAGGAGCTTGTCCCAGCTGTAGGTTTGCAAGTGGTGCCACCACTCTTCCATCACTGAGATTTGGTGAGGCTTCCCCAGAGCAGTGAAGGTACCATGTGCAGTGCAGCTGGAGCAGGGAACAGTTCAGGAGGACGTGTGGGGAGCCCAGCACAGCCAGGCTGTTGGGCATTAAGAGTGGATGGTGTTTCTGAGCTCTGATGTAGGGTTGCTGCATGTCCAGAACCTGCAGTGGTGGCTCTGGCCATTTTTTTTTTTAAATGTCCTTGAAAATTGTCAGACTTAACAGCAAAACTCCATCCCATGATGAAAGGTACAATACTCAAGCTTTTCCATTGCTGTCACATCTTCCTGGTGCAGAACTCTACCAGCAAAGGTCACTGTCTCTGCCCTGTCCTCCCACAGAGCTCTGTCAGCCCTGTTTTGGGGCAGCGCTGTCGAGTGGCATAATCCCTAAGTACAGTTTTGGAGATCAAATCACATGTGTCCATAAGCCTGACATCAGGAAATAATCTCCCTGCCAGGGATGCCTCTCACTCAGTTTGTGCACACTGCTGCTTTTTTCAAAGTAATTCTGCCTCTTTTAATCCCTGTTCATAATTTCTGTTTTTGGGGGAAGATTCCAGTGCCATTGGCTGCAACAAGCACAGACCACTTGTCCTTTTTATCAGACCATCTGTTCCATCTGGACTCCCATCCTTACAAGAAGCAGTTGGCACCATTCACATCTTCCAGCCAGCAAAAAGTTGCCTCTGTGTGAGGCAGAAACTCCCAGAAGATTCAGAAATTCTTCCTTCTGTTGTTTTGGACTTCAAAATAGCAAGGCTATTTTGTGTTCCCTATCTCTGCTCATATTTAACACAGCAGAACACTTTATTAGTGACTTTAGTTTTTTACCATTTCATGTCACTCTGTCAGTGTTAACATTCTTTCAGCTGAGACAGACTTCCCTCTCTTCTCTGTCTTCCCTGGCAGGCTTTAATTCTGTGTCAAGTCAGTGGGGTTACACACTGCAGGAACAGGGGTATCTTCTGGCTCAGTGTAAATTTGGGAGTGCAGGCTTCCTATGAGATGCCATGTTAGTGCCTGGATGTTTTAATCATGAAGGTGTTTGGATGGGCAACTCCCACCTGTGGAAAAATGCCACAGTTCTGATCTTCCCCTTCCAAAAAGAAAATCTCAGTGGTTGAGTTCAAAGTTGCCTTTGCTGGCCCTGTGTAGCTGGCATGAGGTGCAGTGTAAAAGCATGTTCTGCATCTCTTAAACACTTCCCCTAGCCCCCCCGACAGATAAAGTCACCCCTGCTGGAAAAAAACACTTGAAATGGATTTAAAGTAGGCAATGATTAACAGGTTCAGGATGTGCTTAAACAATAGTCTTGGCCTCATATGAACATCTTCCACCCAAAAAGAGAGAGGCAGGAATGAGGGGTGACTTACAGGGTGCTGTCTGCCCAGAAGCCAGTGTGGTTTACAATGACCTTGTGTGTCCACTGCAGAGAGCAGCTCCCTGCCCTGTCACTGCTGCTGCTCCCCTGTCACCCTGTCCTGTAGCCTTGGAGCTGCTCCAGGGCCTGCCAGGCTGTGGGGCAGTGCCACAGGAGGAGCTTTGCAGGGCTGTGTGTGGGTGATGCTCAGCACTGCAGGGCTGAGGGACTCCCCTGTCCTGAGATGTCCCATCAGGGTTCCTGGCATTCACAGGCACGCAGCCAGCTCACTGCTCTGTCCCACCCATCCCTTGGCAGGGGCTTTGGAAATGCTGCAGCCTTCTCAGGCTGTTTAGATTTTTGTCTGTTTTTACACTGCTGTTTTCCTGGAATCCCTGGGAACGGCCTGGGAGGTCATGCAGGCTGTTGGCTGTTAACTCCCAAAATCCCTGTCCAAACCATGGCAGTGCTCTGGTCTGATTTGTGCACTTGCTCCCTTTTGGAGGCCAATGGCCCCCTGACAAGTCCAAGTCAGTGCTGGGCCAGCTTGTTGGGTCAGCTTATTCTTCCAGTGGCAGAGGTAACCTTGTGCTTTGCTGAGTCCCCCTCCCTTGCTCTGGCCAGTGCTGTTGTAGGTACAGCTGATGCAGTGAGGTGGCACAAGGGCTGCAGCCACACCAGCTCCTGCTCCTGACTCCTCCTCCCCTTTGGATTGAAAACCAGATGGGTGCAAAGGGCAGCTGCACTGGTGGCTGTTCTGGCTGTAGTTGGTGTTGGTTGGTGATGGAGCACAAGCTCTCAGCTGGCTCCCAGGCAGTTCTGCAGCTCAAGGTGTGCATTGACTTTGAAATATTAATGGATCTTGCTGCCTCTGGAAAGATACTGGATATGTCATCTTGGCAGTCAGGGACTGCTCAGTTCCCAGAGCAGGGGATTTGGGGCTTGGAACTAGACAATCTTCCTTCCAAGCCAAACCATTCTATGGTTTTATGATTCTGTGTTTGCCTTGCTCTGCCATGTACTTCAGCCCTGAGTGAGGAAAATCCCTTCTGAGGCCAGAAGAGGAATTTGCCTGCTTGCAGGGGTGAGGCTTGGAGACTTGGATATTTGGATGGGGGAGGATGGGGAGGAGTTTCCCCTTCTTGAATTGGGCATTTCATGCAAGTTTGGATCTGCTACAGAGCTCTAAACCTACAAAAATAAGAAGCTCTTTTATTCTGAGCGAAGTGGGAAAATGGTGAAGTTGTTTTGGTTGGGAGCTGAGGGCTGGGGGAAGGAGGGGAATGCTCTTGCAGCCAGACACAGTCTGCCTGTGGTCCCACAGCAGGCTGGAGGAGCAGCCTTCACAGAGGGTGGGGTTCAGCTGCTCCTGAAGTTTCTCCAAAAGCTGTCTGGGCAGCTCAGAAATTGCTGTTTCCCCAAAACACAGCAGCCCTCACAAGGCAACAGACCAGACTGCGTAGGAAGTCAGGTCCTGTGAGCTCAGAGAGCTGGCTCTGTTGTCAGAGCCTGGTAAGGGAGGCTGCCCTGTGGAATGTGTGCACAGAGGGATTTGTTTTATTCTTCCTGGGATGTATCTAAAACAAATTCAAGACTGGTCTCTGGCATTTGTCTCTTCCTTCCAGACAAGGAAATAGTTGCCTGTTGATAAATGAAATCCAAATAGCTGTTCAACACTGACAGAATACTAGCAGAATACTGACAATACTAGCAGAACTTTGGAAGCAGATTTTGCAATATTTTACAGCTTATCTAGCCCCTAAGGTACAAAACCAGATATTACAGAAAATGCCCCCTCCCAGTGTAGAAGGCTGATTCTCCAACCTGTTGTGAGAAACCAACTGCACAACTTGCTGTGGGGTCCGACCAGCTCGCAGGGTTTCTGCACGGAAGGAAGCTATTTCTGTGGCTGCTTATTAGAGACATTGATCTGGAGCAGCTTTTTTTGGAAATGGCAGTGAGCCCCATTTCCTCTCCTGTTTTTTAATGAAAACAGCATCTTCTGTAGTGTAGTTGTGGGTTTAAGCAGGATCTGAACGATGCTTTCCCCTTCGCCTTTTCACCTCTTGCTTTTCATCTCTATTTTCTAATGACATTAATGGCCATTAGACTGTGAAATGTAATTTGCCCAGAATACAGACCTCCCATTGTTCATGGCTTTCTGTTTACCAGACACTCCCTTGGGAGCATGAGATCTGCTTTCATCTGCTACAATTTCACCCCTGTTAATGTTTGGAAGCTCAAAGGCCAACCCATATTAATATTCAACAGAATGTTTCAACTCTCTTTTTCTCCAATAGGGGAAACTGGCCTTGGAAAGTCCACCCTCATGGACACCCTTTTCAACACCAAGTTTGAAGGTGACCCAGCATCTCACTCACAGCCTGGGGTCCAGCTGAAATCCAGTACCTATGACCTGCAGGAGAGCAATGTCAACCTCAAGCTGACTATTGTGAGCACAGTGGGCTTTGGGGATCAGATCAACAAAGAGGACAGGTGAGTGAGGGAGAGAGGGGCTATATTGTGACCTGGCTTTTCATTTTCCCTGTGCCCTAGTTGGTCCTGACTGCACTGGAGTTTTCCTGCTTGCTTCTTAGGAGTTGTCCTTGTCACCTCTTTGGGATGGGACATGTAGAAGAGAGGACAAAGGCTTTGGAGTGTCAGTACTGCTTCAGCTATAAAGCAGCTTTCTCATGCTGTCAGAGCAATTTCTGCCCTGCTGGCAAGCTTCTGCCCAAATTCATCTGGTGGGGAGACTGAAATGCTCCAGGGCATCTAGGCTTGTTTTGGTTTCTGCTGACCTCAAGCTGCTGACCAAACCACTAGTGTGGTTTAGTGTCTGCTTGGCTTAATATCCACTTTTGGCAGGGTTCTTCCATGGGAAGAGCCAAAGGAAGCACAATAAATGGACAGTGAGATACCCTGGGGGAGTGTCTCTGGCAGCTCACATCCCAGAGTGGCTGGAGTGTGTTGGTTAAGGGATGTGCAGTTGCACCAGACAGTCTGCAAGGTGCTCTGCGGAGACATTGCTGATGGGATTGCTTTTTTGTGGGTCAGTTAGGTTTTTTTTTAAAGTTTGTTTAAAATGCACTGATGTCCTTTACATTATAGCTCTGGCAGGCTCTGTATTTCAGAAGGCCTTGCAAGGGAGTTGCAGGAATTTCCTGCCTTGAGAGCAGTGGGCAAAGGTGGTACTGAATGAAGCTGTGTCTCCACCAGCAGCACTCAGGGCTGTGAGAGCAGCAAGCCATCCACTCCCTGAGTGCTGCAAATGAGTCTCCATTAGCCTTGCTTTAGAAGGTCTCTCATCCTTACATTTCGAAATAGAGATCTGCTTTCCCTGGAGAGGAGGGTGCATCTGCTGTCCTCTGCTAAATCCCAGTGCTGTGTTTTGACAAACAGGCTGCTAGAGTCTGATGTAGGACCATGTCTCCTTGTCAGCAGTGCAGCTTTAAAATTTTTTACAGGTGGGGAGCAAGGGAGGTAGAAAGTGGAAAATGGAAAGTGAAATCTATCAACAGCTTCTTTCTTAAAAGCAAGCCGGGGCATTGTCCTGTTTGTTGAGCTCTCTGACTGTGAGATGTATAACTTTTTTTTTTTCCTTTCACCAAAGCTACAAGCCCATCGTTGAGTTCATTGATGCTCAGTTTGAAGCCTACTTGCAAGAAGAGCTGAAGATAAAAAGGGTCTTGCACAACTACCATGACACCCGGATCCACGCGTGCTTGTACTTCATCGCTCCGACCGGCCATTCCCTGAAATCCCTGGACTTGGTAACCATGAAGAAGCTCGACAGCAAGGTAGGCAGAAGTAACTCTTACTGGGCAGATTTACTGTTTGCAGAGTGGAAAGGCTGCTGCTTTTCCAGAGGATCTCCCCACCTTGAATAGCCCTTCTGGCTGAGTTGGCAGATAATTCTGTAGATTTATTGAGCACTTACAAGTTTTTGAAGGTTGTATTGGAGACTTAGAGAAACTCCCAGGAGCGAAGTTGATTACTTCATACCTCTGTTTTTTTCTAGGTGAACATAATTCCCATCATTGCCAAATCTGATGCCATTTCCAAGAGTGAGCTGACCAAATTTAAAATTAAAATCACAAGTGAACTGGTCAGTAATGGGGTGCAGATCTACCAGTTCCCAACAGATGATGAATCGGTGGCAGAGATAAATGGGACAATGAATGTAAGTGCCTTGGTTCTTCCTCCTCCTCCCAGAACAGCACTGTCATTGTGGGGTTGGTGGCCCATACTGGGATGTTTCTTACATCTACTTTCCCTTTCATTTTGTTTCTTAAAACCAGAGGATTTAACAAGAATCTCATCCTTGTAGTGTCATCCTAGTCTAGGAGAGCTTTGTGTTAGGCTGCTACCTCTCTGGTGGGCTTTTCTAGTCAGAAAACAGACTTTTAATACCCTCCTTGTCCTCATGCATATCTTTTGAGGGACATGTAAGAAATCAGTGTTTAAATCCTTTTCAGCCCAAGGGCGATTTGTGATTGTTCCTGTCCTATACTTCACCTGATGGCCTCCCACCAGTAAACTTCCACTGGCAAGGAATTACACAGCTTAACCAGCAAGGTGTGAAAAACAGTACACAATTTGGGCCAGACATGCCTTGAAGTGCCTGCAGGTTCCCATTCTGGCTCTGGCCTCCCCAGCATCATGGGTGCCAGTCTGTGGCTCCTTGAGGATGAAACAAACTGTCCCTTGCCTTGCTGGCAGTACACCCTGACCATGGTCCCATTTTCCAGAAAGGCTTTTCACAGGAAATCAAGTAGGGGAAGTTGATTGCTTTACTGCTGTGGATGTAGCAGAGGTCTAGCTGATGTGCATTTGTGCCACCTCTTGATTAAGTATTAATAGTTGTAGAGTGTTCTGGAGAGGCCTGAAAGAAACATGAAGTTTGTCCTGACGTAGGAGCTGTCAGTGATGGTTTCCTGGTCAGAGCAGTTCAGTGTTCTGAGGGTGGAAGTGAACCTCTGCTTGTCTTTCCTTTCAGCCATTTACTTGTCTCCTGGGAGGGAATTGCTGTCTTGGGTTGCAGACGTTCTGGGTTGTGTCACTCACTGCACAGGCAAATCAATTCCTACATCCTCTATTACAGTCAGAATTACCAGGTTTATGGGGACTAAGCAGGCCCGAATTTGACCAAAGCAATTTTGCAGGTCTGGAAAACTTGTATCCAAATACTGATATTATAAGAAACATAAGGCAAATATTACTCTTACTTTGTATGTGTTGCATGTGAGAGCAGGGGGCTGAGGAGTACAGGGGGCAGAGCCCATCTCTCTGAGTGCTTGCTGGCAGTTTTGCTTTGTTTGCAGTTTGACTGTATGAGCCACACTCTGAAAGCAAAAACATAATCTCTGAAATATTTTGGTTGTACCAGCTGTCATGAACTTGTCCAAATTTTTGGATAACCTGTGGAATTTACTTCCGGCTCCTGAGAGCAATCCAGGGTCACTGATCTTCCATGTAGTTGGCTTCCTGAGGCCCTTTAAATTGCCCAGAATTTGGTGCACTTTAAAAGCTTTGCCTAACAAATGTTACTTCACAAAACTCAGCAGAAAGGGTTGGTGAAAGGAGCTGGGAACTTAAAGTGCTGAAGCTTTGCACTTGACTTCCTTGCAGCTTGGCAGAATGCAGTATAGCTCCCAGGAGCAAGGGAGGTGGGGAGAAATCTCACTCACAGAAAAATGCAGCAAAGTACGATGGCAGTGTCTGGGGGGTTTGCTTGGCTGCCTGCCTTTTGGAAATGAGAGCACTGTAAGGTGAGATCTTCAGAGCCTAGGTAGGTGTTGGGAGGGTTTCAGTTCCAATTTTGCTGAGTGTGCACTGGGCAAGTCTCTTTTTGCCTTCTGCAGAAATTGTCTATACTAAAAAGTTACTGTTTCTGATTTCTGAGTTTTTACAAAGCAAATCCCTCTTCTTCTTAGTCAGCCTTTGTGTAATGTGGAGTGCATATCTAAGCTTGAAGAGTGTGACCTTGGGTCACATCAGACACAGTGGCTGGGGACATGTTCAGCCCTTCCTCACCAGGGCAGAAGCAAGCAGGGAGGAAGGACCTGTTACTCCAGGAGTGAAGGATGGACTTCCATCTCATGATCTGATGGAGCAGGCTGTCTTGTACTCCAGCATGAGCTGAAGGAGTGGTGGGGGGATAAAATCAAGAAGGCTCCTAGACCTCTTACTGCTTCTGTGCTTGTGCAGATGTTCTCCTCAGGCACGGCAAGCCCTGGGACGGCACCGCAGTCCGAGCCGCAGCCCTGTGTTCCAGCTGTCACTCTGATGCCAGTCTTGCACTGGCTCATCTCACCTGAGACTCTGTGGCTGGGAGGATCAGCCAGGTAGAAGATATAGAGTGGTAGCACTAGCAAGGTTTCCAAAAAAGGACCCACCCTGCTAGCCCTTGTCTTGGATTAGTGGCCAGTGACTAGACTCCCTGAGATTAGCATGTGCATAATGACTGTCTTGCTCAGTGGCTGTGCTCATCTCTGTGTGCTGGTGGGTCAGCCAGGTCTCAGGGACTAACGTGGATATCATCAAATGTGTTCCAGGCCCACTTGCCATTTGCAGTGATCGGGAGTACGGAGGAGCTGAAAATAGGAAACAAAATGATGAAAGCTCGTCAGTACCCTTGGGGCACAGTGCAGGGTGAGTTGAGCCCTGGGATTTTCATGGCATGAATGGTGACACTTGTGCAAGGAGGCAGTGGGCTTTCATAGAAAGAGCAAGGGCCTGCTGGACGTGATTATCCATGGGGAATTATCCTTTGTTAAATCCTTGTGTCAGGCCTATAGTGCCAGTTTTCTCTGCTTGGAAGGGCTGTTAAACCTGTTGGAGGAGTAGACAGTTGAGGAATGTGGGAAGAGATCTTAGTTTCTATCCCCATTTTCCTCCTTACCGTGCCTTCTTTCAGTGGAGAACGAAGCTCACTGTGACTTTGTGAAGCTGCGGGAGATGCTGATCCGCGTGAACATGGAAGACCTTCGTGAGCAGACCCACACACGCCACTATGAGCTCTACAGGCGATGTAAACTGGAAGAGATGGGTTTCAAGGACACTGATCCAGACAGCAAACCCTTCAGGTGAGATCCCTGGAGGAGACAGGAGGGCTCGAGAGAGGCATTGCTGGATGTGCTGTGTGCCTCTGTGTGTGTGTGTCCTTGGGGGAGCACAGAAAAAACCAATGCAGCAAGAAAAACTGCCAGGTCAGATAAATCCAGACTTCAGCAAAGGTCTGACTGGGAGAAAGTGAAAATACAGGGAGGATCTGCAGGACTGACTGTGAATCTGCAAGGATGGGAGTAGAAATGTCTGTGCTGCAGAGACACAGTGATGCCTATTTTGAGCTTACCTAGAAACAGAGGCCAGACAAAGGTAAAAGGATAAAAGTGAATATATTTAATGAAGGGCCTCCAGGTATATTAAGGGTAGATGAAGTCTCCACAAGGGGCTACATCCAAAATGGACAATGGTCACGAGTTTTTCAGCCAGATATAAGTTTGGTCTATTTATATATCAAGCATTAAGCCTCCAATTACAGCTTCAGGTAATGAAGTTATTACCTGAAGTTTCCTCCTCCCAATTCACTTTTGTTATACATTTTGGGGCTTGAGGCTGTAGGTTGTGCTTGGATCTCAGGCCCAGAGGGATTGTTTTGTCTGACCAAAATGTGAAGACAGTTAATTAACACTTTTTATGGAGTTTAGAATTATGCACTAATGCAGTACAGGATTTAAAAAACATAAAGACTGAAATCTTAAGGCATCAGCAGCAGTGTTCCTCTAAACTAGTGTTTGTTGCCAGCTGGTCTCTTTGAATTGCCCAACATTCAACATACAGAGAAGTGCCAAAAATCATTGGATAAAGAAGACCTTGGGCACATGTGGGTGAGTGAGTAGCAAATGTGTTGTGTGCAAAGCATAGTCATGGTGAGGGCCTGATTTCAGAGGGTCAGGGTAAGCAGTTTGTCCCAGGTCTTATCACTGGACTTTCCTTCCTTTTCAGCTTACAAGAAACTTACGAAGCCAAAAGAAACGAGTTTCTGGGAGAGCTGCAGAAAAAGGAAGAGGCAATGAGACAGATGTTTGTCCAGAGGGTCAAGGAAAAAGAAGCTGAGTTGAAGGAGGCTGAAAAAGAGGTAAAAACTGCAGTACTTGTGTCTTCATGGCTGTGAGTGATAGATTCGCTCCCAAGGAGGTAGTTGTTGCCAAAGCACTTTCTTACCAAGAAACCTAAGGTTTAACTTGGATGGAGATGTTAAGGTCTTCAGCCTGTAGGACAAAACTGAATCACAGTACTTGTTTTGTACAACTTACTGCACCAGGAAAGGACCAGAGTCTTGATTCTGATGGAGAGATGCAGTGTGGTAAAAGTCAAGGAGAGAAGCAGCCCTTGAGATGAACTTGTTTTACAAAAAATACACCCATACAACTTTCTTAGCAATGTGAAAAATCCATTAATTTACTGACTTTTAAAGAGGAATAAGGCAGAGACCCCTGAAGATGGATTAGGGTTTTTTTTTTACACTTATGCTCTCCCAATCCTCTGTTCATAGTCTGCACAATGAACACACATAGTCTGCATTACTAGAACACTGCCTGTAAGTTGTTGTGGAAGGAGGCTGTTCCCTGCCCTTTGTCTGTAGTGCTGTGTCCTGCTCACCTCTTTCCTTTCCTTTTAGCTGCATGAAAAGTTTGATCGCCTGAAGAAATTGCATCAGGATGAAAAGAAGAAGCTGGAGGATAAGAAGAAGTCTCTGGATGATGAAGTAAATGCATTTAAACAAAGGAAGACAGCAGCTGAATTGCTTCAGTCACAGGCTCAGCAGGCTGGAGGGTCGCAAACTCTTAAAAGGGATAAGGAAAGGAAAAAGTAAGTTGCTAACCCAGAGGTATTTGCTTTTGGTCATGATTTTCCTTTACTATTTTTCTGGGTGTTCATATCTCCCTCCAATATAGCCAGTCCTTATCAGGGGAAGGTTTGCAGCCAGATTTAAACCCTTGTAAGGCTGAGCAGTGTCTGGAAGCATGTAACATTTGCTGTCATGCTGAAGAGCAGGGAGCAGTACTAACCTCCCTCTTTGCTTTCTGACAGCATGGGGAGGATGAACTTGTTTTTATTCCCCAAGATTCCCTGCTCCTCCCTTGGTCTCTCAGTGCTTGTAAAGAAGTGGAACCATACTAGCTGCCAAGGCTAGGGTGTGGGTAGCAGGGATGTCACATTACCCTCAGAGAGGAGTGTGTTTTAGCTCAGGTTCTTACTTTTTTATATTGAGAAAATTATGGAAATTATTCAGGCAGACTAACAGTCTTGAATTCTGGAATCTGCAGGATGTAAGACAGCAAAATGAGGGGACAGGTCATATCACCTTGTTAGCACTAGTACTTTTCTCCTGTCCTAAATCAGCTTTTTGCCCTTCACAGGAACAGTGGGAGGTACTGCAAGGCTGTAGCAGGGCTTCCCAGTGCCACGGACTGGTGTGACAGGATCCAGCCCCTCATCAGGGCCTGGGACCTGGCTGTCTGCAGTGCCTGTGCTAGGCTCCTGCAGCTCTGCAGTTGCTCAAGAGCAACCAGCTGTACAGTGAAACAGATCTCCCACTTGTCCCAGCACTGAGCAGTTCCCTTCCTTCTCACTGTGGCACATTTCCCAAAATGAGCACTGTGCCACCTGTGCAGGTGTGCAGAGAGTGGTGTGCAGACAAACAGGGGTCTGTTTTTGTACCATGCCATAATCCCCCCTCTGCACAGCCCTGGGGCAGTCCTTGCCTGCACTGTGCAGTCCTAAGTACATGAAGAAGTGCTGTTAAATTGGACAGTATGGGGCATGCCCAAAGTGCTGACAGCACTGTTTGTCAGGGAATAAACCTGTGACTGTTAAGCTTGGGATTAAATGAGACAGAGGAGGAAAGACCCAATTACAGGAATGAGATCCTGGTTTAGTCTTTTAGTTTAAAGCTGAAGCTGCTTCCACATGAACGTTCTTTTGTGATGAGCAATTAGTGCTGCACTTTCCTCACTCGCCCATTCCTTTTCCCACTGCCTATTTTGATTTGTACATTTGAATCACCTTCAGGGGGTTTTAATATCTTTTCATACTGAGGAGTCTGAGACTGACTGGGGACAGACTTCTCTCGAGAGGCTGGACTGAACCCAGCTGAGTTCTTTCATGCTTAGAGCCCTTACACATCTGCTCACTCAGGACTGCAGACTTCAGCCTTCAGATCAGTCAGGGTCAGGAATGCAGAAAAGAGAGGAAACAGCCTTATAGTATCAGCAAGTAGTTGCTGTGGCCCAACTCAAACTCTGGATCCTTGAAGTGGTTCTCATCTCAGAACATCTCCTTGACACCAAGCATGTTGATATGGAAAAGCTTTGGTACTGCCCTTATCAGTTAAGGGCACAGAAAACTCCATGACAGAGATAGGTCAGTGCTTCAGTAAGGCTTGGGGAGATAATAGGAAGCTTCTTTCACCTCCAGTAAATTTGCTGTGCTGGAAATGGTGCTGCTTTCTTTGCTCTGTAACTTCTCTGATTGTCCTTAATAATGGATTTTAGTACTTTGATCATAATTTTTTCTTAACAGTCCATGAATTTTGCAAGCTGGAGCTTAATTGTAGCTTGTTTACTACTGGCTGGCATACAATAACCTTTTTCTTTCACAGGTGACTTGTTTAAACCCAAGCTCTGTAATTTGCACTAATCATGACTCAGTTGATTTTTCTGTTGTTGTTGTTACATCATTATCATCATTATTAGGCCTTACATGTGTGCTGTTTTACAGTTAGCTGCTGTTTGGCTGCATGGTGCATGAGGCACATTGTCCTGGTAAGCGTCATTAACTAATAGAGCCTCACAGTGGGATCAGTTACCTTTCCTAAAAAAGCAGAGCGTGTGAAAGTCCTGAAGCATATAAGTATTGTCTCTGTCTTCCCCTGCTTTCACCCACTATATGTGCTCTACCAGTCACTCTCTACATGTGCAGTTGTAGAAAAATTATGTAATTATCTTTAAAGATTCTGCAAAGTTGAATTCAGAGACTCAGGATATGGAGCATAGAAAATTAAGGATTACATCCTCTTCCTTTTAAATCTTCCCAGCACTTCATTGGCTCTGTTCTCTTTATTCCATCTCTCTTAAAAATAAATTATATTCTTTAATCACACAGGCCACGTTGACACTATGGCAACAATTGCTATGGAGATGTGGTGCTGATGATACAGCCCAGCTAGCCATGAAAATGTCTCTGTCTTTCCTTTCTCCTCCTTCCCTCCCACTCCTCCAAGCTGTAATGTTAACTTGTGGTTACAGTGAAGGTAGATGCAAGACTAGTTTCTGTCATCCTCATTAGGGTTATTAGTTAAACTGCCAATGACAGTGGTCTACTTACAGCTAGGTTGAGTGGGTTTAATTGAGCATTTTTAATTTGCTGATTCTCTAGTGAGAGGAAGAGGAAACCTCCCACAGGAATGCCTTGCTTCTTGACAGAGCAGCGATACTCAATATCCAAGACAGAGCCTCAGGGGCTGAGGTGCACAGGCCTCTCAGAGAAGGGACCCTGTTGGCAATAAACTATAAAACACCCTAAAAACTCATCCTTGAGTCCACCCTTCCCTGCAGACAAAGCTAAGACTTAAATTCTCTCCTGATAGTCTAAACTAAATTACAGTCTACCCTTAAACTGATAGAAGCTGATTCCAAGATTCCTTCCCTCTTAACTCCACCACGGGAAATGGCAAAGCAAGTAAACATTATGCTGCCAGTGAGAGGCATTTGAATGTAATTTAAATGGGACCTTCCACTTAACAGAAGAGCTTCAGAAGGGTCTTGCACTGGCTCGAACTGGCGCTTGCAGTCGTCTTGAGCTGTCCAGTTGAGTGAATGTCTCTGCTGCCAACAGTAACTGTAGAACAATGGAAAGAACAATTCTCTGCTTATCAGGCTCTGAATGTGGAAAAATAAGCTGAAAGAATAACAGTGTTCATTCTGGTGCTGAGTACGAAGGCACAGCTAAAGTGCAGCTAGAGTGAACATTACTGATTTTTGTTGGTTTTGGATTGCTTTTGGCAGTCCTCATAACTGTACACTATTGTGTGCTGGGCTTTGAATCAAATGAAGTTCTTTGTTCCCACTACGCAAATGCAGACAGTGCCTTTTCCAATGGGCATTTGTCATTGCTAAATTAAATATGTATATGTGGTACTTTTCCAGGATTTAGAAAAACAGTCTCCATATTGATCCATAAAGTGTTTCAGGGCTTCACTGTTTTGCAAGGATACAAACAAGTCACAGTTGATGAGTCCTGTAGCTTGCAAAACTGTGAAAGGATTGTTTTAGAAAATGAATTTGGTTCATCCCACTGCTGAGTGTGTGTGTGTGTGTGTGTATGTGTGCATAAAGCATGTTTTGTAGTCAGATTAAACCTTATTAACACTTAGCAACATTTTCTTTTGTGTGTGTGTGTGTGTGCCCATTAGAATAACTTGTATTTTTATTTTGTTTTTTGTCATTAATCCATAAAACCATTAACCTGCCTTTTTCTTTCATTTTCAGTTCGGGTTTCCTGTAGAACCTTTCCCTTGGCCCCAGAGGCGAATGCCCCACCCTCGGCTGTGCCATTGTGCCTGTTGCTCACCTTTCCCACTGCTCCCCTCCCTGCTCACCACTCGGGCTCAAACCAGAGCTCTTGGCTGCTGGGGTTGTTCTTCTGAGGGACCCTGCTGGCCAGAGGGGTTTGTGCCAGGTTCCTCCTGCCCCTTGGGCAGCAGCAGGATGCCCCCTGCTCCTGGGCCAGGGTCCCGCTGCTCAGCTTTCCCTGCTCCGTGCTGTCAGAGCTGCTTGGGGGTGCATTTAGCTCCTGCTGTGGGGTGGGTTTGCTCTCTCCAGAGACTGGCTGCCCTCTCCCCGTGTTCATTTGCTGTTCCTAAGCCCTCATTACCCCCTGTGCTGCCATGTGTGACTCAAATAACTTCCAAGGACTTTTTGCAAAACTTGACATCCTCACAGGCATGGGCCTGAGTCCAAACCTCTAGTTCCCGGGCTTGAGGAAATCTCAAATTTGGATCCATGGTTTGCAACTAAGTGTTCTCTGAATGCTGCAGGGGTCATGAAGGATCTTTTGCCTGGTCTCCCTCTCAGTGTGCTGACCTGGATGCACATCCTGGATCCAATCTCAGGGAAAGCTGGTCACCTTGCTGTACATATCAGTGTTTCTGAAGAAAGACGATGCTGTTTCATTGACTTTCTTCTCAGTCATTCCAACAATTTCTGGTTTTAATGCAAAAAAATACTACCTTTATATATTTTTTTTTATCTGACATCTCTTTAGAACTGTACAGATGTTGACAGGTTTCTTCTCATATTTTCTATTCAGCAAAAGCCTTGTTTTTATTGCAAGGTTTGCACTAAAAAGGAGGGTGTTTTGCTCACTGGGCCAGGAGCTCACTCTGGCCAGGTGCAGCTGTGGTTTGCCTGCACGTGTCTCTCTCTGTATTTCTGGCTGAGTTTTGTTTTTAAATAAAGAGTTCATCGGACAGTGAATTCTGGTTAACATTTACTTCTTTTGTTTTTTTGTTTTTTGTTTTTTTTGCCCTTCTTTTTCAGTAACCCATGGCTCTGTACTGAGTAATTACCCCTGAATACAAGGCCTGGAATGGACCTTCATTTACTTGTTAAATCGGAGGGTCTAATAAAACATGACAGCATTTCAGCTGTGACCTTTCCAGGGTGTTATCCTTGCTCTCTCCTATGCTCTCGTTGTGATTCTGTTTTTACTATGTACTGGTGGTTATTGCTTTTATTAAACAATGTAAAATTAGTCATAACAAGGTTCTGGATGCTACAACTTTAAATCCTGCCATTTTTTCCCCCCTACAATTAATGGATTCCCCTTTTTCCTGGTCTCGTTCCACCCAGCTAAATAAGGGATATGGAAATAAGTTCTGTGAGTTATTTTTGCTGGCGAAATAACAACGCAGTTTAAATATATTTATTGATGACATTAAAATGACAACACCATCTTAGTTTAATTATCACGTGGTTCAGAGATAAAACACGCTTTTCTCATTCTATTTGTTGTCATTTTCATGACATCATCTGTCTTTTTTCATGTGCTTTTTTTTTTTTTTTCCTTTTGCTAATTCATGCTATCTGAAGACCAGCATGCAAATCCTGGTTTCCATTTCAGATTTGTGTGTGCTGAATCCCCACGTCCTGCCCCTCTAAAGCCCAGCTGTGTGCTGCCAGGCAGCCCCCCAAACGCCCAGGTCCTGGCCTTGCAGGAGATGAGCACACTCAGGCCTGGCCCTGGTGCTGTTCAGTGCCAGCTGCTGTTTCACCTGCTGGGGTTTTACTGAGCAGTGCTCTGCGTGGTGCCAGGGCTCAGCAGCAGTTCCAGCTCAGGGCCAGCCTGGCTCCAGCTCACAGCAGCAGCCCCAGGTCAGACCACGGTTCCTCCGTCCCCAGCAGTCAGGGCAGCCCAAACTCTTGGTTGTAATGTATTTTCTCAGGTATTGTTTTACCATAAACACCATTTCATTTCCATAGAGCTCTTTGATTGCTTTGAGATTTGTTTAGCAAGTTGAAATAATTTGAATATTTTCTTCTTCCTCTACTTTTGAATGTTTCCCTGCTCCTAAAACCAGTCAATATTAATCTGTCAATGATTTCTAGATTATCTGCTAAAAAGACAATTGAATGTGACATTTTTTACCATACTGCAGGTCATTGTCTGTTCTTCCTGACCATTTGCCTTATTAGAATGTTGTTTAGTTATGTAAAATCTTTAGAAAGACTTTAAAGAAAGAAAGGTTTTTATTTGTGTGATTTCCCTGAAGTACTTGAGGTACCACAAGGAGGTTCCATCTCTCCTCTGTCAGCTGTTTCCATGTTGCATCTCTTTTTCTTGCTTTTTGAATGTCTTTCTCTTTTTTGCTAATCTTCTGTTTTTTCTCTTTTTTCCCCTTTTTCTCTCTCTATAGCTTTTTTTAATCTGTCTTCGCCAGCTGCACTGTGTCTGAGGGAGAAGACTGCCACTTCTAGAAGAGTCTAAGGGTCTTATGTCTGGGGAGGGGGGAACAAATCTTCAGTGTTAGTGTCTTGGAAAGAAGCTCTTTTACTGACTTGCATGATACTTAAAATTGAAGTGTCTTGTAATTTGTGTGACAAGACAGGGCGATGAGGGGGGAACTGATGACCTGGAGTTTTGAAGAGCTACAGAAACGTGATATTGGGACTAATGATGTAGCGAATACATTTTCAAATGTTGTTATGGGCATACGTTTTTTCTAATGTTGTCTTTAATAATATAAATGTCATGGGCTTCCCTGAGGTGTGAAGCCTAAGGAATATTTTAAATATGCTGGTGGTTTGATTGGTTTTAGAAACCGTGCATTCAGAGTCAAAGGAAATACAAACATGGTGCAACTTGCTCTGTTGGCAGCCACGAAATATTTAATTTTATCAAAGAAATAAAGCAAGAACTGTGTGTTCTCACTGGCGTCCTCCTGTGTCTCACCGTCCTGTTAAAGCCCCAGTGGCCGGTGGCGTGAGTCAAGTGCTGCTTCCTCCTTCCGCACCCACCTGCTCTCGCTGAAAGCTCGGGAAGCTGGCAGCGCCCGGGCCAGGCGTGCGAGGCCGAGCTCCGTCAGAGCTGCGCTGTCCCGGCGGCGCCGCTCCCGGGCCGGCGCCGTTCGCGCTGCCCACGCCAAGGGCGCGGGAGCGGCGCGCCTGAGGAGCCCGTGCTGTTCGCCTCTTTCCCTTCTGACGTTCGTGTACATTCGGAATAAAAAACACGAAAGCCAGCGCGGCTGCTCTGGTGTGTGTTGGTGTGTGTGTTGGTGTGACGGGCACAGGGAGGCCGGAGCGCGGCGGGGACGGCGGATCCCGGCCCGGTGGTGTGTGTTTTTGTGTGTGTGTGTGTGTGTGTGTGTGTGTGCGTGTGTGTGCAGCTCGCCGGGCCCGGCGCTCCGCACGGCTCCGCACGGGCACGGGGAGGCCGGAGCGCGGCGGGGACGGCGGATCCCGGCCCGGGCAGCGCAGGGCCGCTCTGGGGCAACCGCGGCTGTTCGGCGAGGCCTGGGGCAGATCCCGGGGCGGGCGGGCGGTGACCAGGACCCGGGGGACACCGTGGGGCCCGCCGCTGCCCCGGCACCGCTCCGGCCGCGCTCCCGCTCCGCGCCTGGCAGCGGCCGCCAGGGAGCGCTGCGCCCGCCGCGCTGGCCCCGCCATGGCGGCTGTTTCTCGCGGTGTCTCGCGCGACCGTGACGCGCGGCCACGTGACGCGGCGCCGGCCGGGCCGCGCCGTTCGGCCCCGAGCGAGTGACGGGAGCGGAACCGGGAGCGGAACCGGGAGCGCGACGGCACCTGCGGGGCGGGGCCGCCAGGGAACGGGGCCGGGGGCGGGGCAGGTGACGGGGGAGCTAAGGCTGGGCCGGGCCGCCTCTTCCCGGTGGCTCGCAGCGAGCCGCGGCCTGGTCCACACGTGGGGCCTGGTCCCGCCGTACGCGCCCGGGCCCGGCGGGTGCGCGCCCCTGGCGGGGTTCGGCCCCGCGGCCTTTGCCCACCATGCCGCCGCCGGCAGAGCCGCGGCCGGAGGCGGTGGCCGAGCCGGAGCCGGAGCAGTGGCGGCAGTACAACGAGACCGACCGGCAATGGGCGCTGCGCCGCCGCTTCATCCTCCGCCACCTCCCCGCGTACCCCGGCGGCGCCATCGACCAGCTGCTGGCGCTCTCCGTGCTCTGGACCAACCACGTCTTCATGGGCTGCAGGTGAGGCTGGGGCCCCGCGGGGCGAGCCGTGCCGCGGGGCGGGCAGGAGCGGTGGCAGGCAGGCGGGACGGGAGCCCCCGCGGGGAGAAGGGGCGCAGGCTCCCGCGGTGGCCAAACCTCGGCTCCAGGTGCGTTTTAGGAGGTAGCCACAGAAAGAGCTGGGATGAAAGGGGCTAGGGGAGAGAACTTCTGTGCCTGGCCAGTTTTGTTTGCTCGAGTGTTTGTATGGGGAGGGGAGCAAGGCACTGCAGAAGTTCATGTGTGTTTTGCAAGGAGTTCTTGGTGTCCTGCCCCAGGACTCGTTAAGCTTGTGGTGCTGTGTCATTTAAATGAGGAGACAGCTTCCCTCTGAGCACAAGGCAACCTGTACAGTGCCCTGAAGGCTCTGCTTTTCTGGGAGAAGTGAACGTGGAGAGGGAAGGGGAATCCTTTCATCCAGCCCTACCGACCATAGCCAGGTTGTGGAGATGTGCAGAAGCGTCACCCGCGTTCCACAGACGCCTTTAATGGTGTGACTGTTTTTAACTGGACGGAAGCAGTTCTTAACGACCAACTTCTGCAAACTGTGGCACATAGATGGACTTTTAATAGTGTTCCATCCCACAGCCTTTGTGCCATCTCTACAGAGCAAAATCAATATCTTTAAATACACATCTGCCTGTTTCCTTTTTTTTTTTCCCCTGGATCATGTACTAAACTGTTCTGCCCTGCAAGCACTAAAATTTAGCATAGATTTTAAACAGTTTCCAATTCCAAAGCTTGAGCAATATGTTGAAATTGAGAATATACATGTATTCTTCATATAGAGTCTGTGTGGTCCATGTTAATGTGTTTGTGTGCTGTCTAAATGGGGACCTTCTCTGTGCCAGGGCCTTTGGGAGTGATGCACTAAACAGTTACAGGTGCTGCTAATAGACGTGAACAGCTGTGTGGGAAGGTTTCAAATCCCAAAAACTGATGCAGTTTAAACCTGTCAGTGCACATACTTTCTGTGATGGACTCCTTCACCTGCAGCTCTCAGGGGAGAGGAGATTTGGGCAGGATGCAGTCTGGAGCCATTATCAGTGAAGGTGTTTCCCCAGAGCCGGTGTGCCTGGCTGGGAGCACTGCCTGGGAGCATTCTGTGCTGTTCAAACAATTCTAGCTTTACTACAGTTGCCTGGGGAAGGAAGGGACCTGCAGCATTCCCTGGAACTGCCTTTGGTGTTTGGGAAGAGCTGTTGTTGATTTATCAAGTAAATAGCTTCAAAGTTTGAGGGATTTTTGTTGTTTTCCCTTAAGTTTGTTGGCTGGGGTTTTGTTTAGTTTTGTTTTCCCAATGCTGATTTCTTGCCAGCTGAAGGCAGCCTGTTTGTGGGACAGCTCAGCTGGTTACAGCAGGTGCTGGCAGTGACAGTGATGTGGGTTCAGTCCCCTGTGGCCATTCACCCGAGCCTTGGGCTCCATGATCCTTGTGGGATCCTTCCTACTCACACTGTTCTGTGGCTCTGTGAAGAGCAGATCAGTCTTTGCTATGAAATCTGAGTGTTCTGCTGGGACATGATGTGGAGAGCATGCAGAAGGCTCAGAAAACATGCTCTGTGAGGAAGGGGTTAAGTAAAAGGCTTCATTTAGTTTAGGTGTGGATGAGAGAAGGCGCTCCTGTTCCCAGATATGTTAAAGGTGGCTGAGAATAGGGGCAGTGGTGCAGGAGGGCATTATGCTCCAGAGGTACAGGCATCAGGATAAGGGGTAACCTATTAAAGTCACAGCAGGGAGACTTCAGTTAGGTACTGGAGGCACTGGGTTCCTCTGGCCAGGTTAGAAAACACGTGTTGAGACTGGTTGATCTCCTGCCTGCCCCCGGCTGAAATATGAGCCCCAGAGGTCTCCATCCTTCTGAAGAATGACAGGTGTCAAACCTGACACTGTTCTTGCACCCTGCTGGAAAGGGACATTGTCTGTCACAGGTAATGTCACCCTGTCCCTGTAAGCCAGAGAGAGACAGATTCCCACTCCTCTCCCCTTTGGCTGCAAGAGGATGAAGCTGTGTCCTGGTTTGAAGGAAGGTGTCTGCCAAGGAAGGTGGGAACCTCCCTTGGAATGGAAAATACAACCCCTTTCCTCTGAATTATTATAAGTTTGAAATTATGGGGCTTTCAGGCAAAGACATGGGAAAAGGAACAGCAGTTGGTGTCAGTGTGTGTGCACTGTGTGTACAGTGTAAATGTGTGTGTACAGTGTGTCAGCGTAAATGTGCATGTACATTTGTGTGTCAGTGTGTGTGTACAGTGTGTCAGTGTAAATGTGTGTACACTGTGTGTCAGTGTGTGTGTATACATTGTGTGTCAGTGTGCATGTACATTTGTGTGTCAGTGTGTGTATACATTGTGTGTCAATGTAAATGTGTGTACAGTGTGTGTGTACAGTGTAAATGTGTGTGTACAGAGTGTGTCAGTGTAAATGTGCATGTAACAGTGTGTCAGTGTAAATGTGTGTGTATACTGTGTGTCAGTGTACACTGTGTGTCAGCATAAATGTGTGTGTACATTGTGTGTCAGTGTGCATGTACATTTGTGTGTCAGTGTGTGTATACATTGTGTGTCAATGTAAATGTGTGTACAGTGTGTGTGTACAGTGTGTGTCAGTGTAAATGTGCCAGTGTAAATGTGTATGTGTCAGTGTGTGTGTACAGTGTGTGTCAATGTAAATGTGTGTACACTGTGTGTCAGTGTGTGTATACATTGTGTGTCAGTGTAAATGTGTGTACACTGTGTGTCAGTGTGTGTGTATACATTGTGTGTCAGTGTGCATGTACATTTGTGTGTCAGTGTGTGTAAGTGTGCACTGTGTCAGTGTCAGTGTGTCACTGTCTGTGTGTCTGACCCTGCAAACAGCAGCGGCCCCCGCGAGCCGAGCGCAGCCCCAGCCCAGCCTCCCCTCCCTGCAGTTCCAGGCACGGCCAGCAGGGGCGCTGCTGGCTCCCGGCCGGCAGGGGGCGATGCTTCCCCCGGGGTGGCAAACAAAACAAACAAAACAAAATAAAACGTAACAAAAACTGCGCAGCCCTAGCGGGAGCTTCAGGGTCAGGTGGACACCGAGTGCAGGGTTAAAGTGTAGCAAAAAAAGCCCGAGGCAGCGCAGAAAACACGGGCTAGGCTGTCCTCCTCCCATGCCAACAGCAAGAGAGGGAGAGGAGCTGAGCCCAGCCCCTCACCCC